AAAAATCTTAGAAAAATTTTATTAATGTGATTAAAAATAGAGATATTCTTTTCAAACTTTTATATAAAATAATTTTTATTATTCTAAGTACTCGAGATATATCGAGAAAAATTTTTAAATTCATCTATTTATCCCTTCTACAGGTGTGTCAAGTTACATTAAAATAATAGCCCATACAGCACAAAATATTTTTTAAATCTTTTAAAAATATTTCTTAAAAGAAAATAATTCTTGAAAATATTTTTAAAATGTTTCTATGTCCGCTTTTTTATGTTTAAACATATTTTCATAAATATTTTTGAATATAGATTTAAACTAATATTTCAAAAATATGTATCAAATATTTAAGAAAATCGAGCAACCCTTAAAAGATTGAGATTTAAAACTTGACATAAAGAAAAACGAAAAACTTGGATGTACAAGGGAGAAGACGAACCTAATATAGAGGTGGAGAATCGGAGGAAGAATGGAGTTGACGGTGCGAAAATCATGAAGGCTGGAACCCGGAAATGTAGCTCATCATTAATACAGTATCTCGATGTGAATGGGAGAGAAGTGTCTGACTATAAGACGACGCAGAACTTAGGCGACGATTTTTTCAGTGACAATTTATATTCATGTTATGTTTAATTTTTTTCATAACGATTTGTTTCAAAATTCAATACTTATACTGAAAAAAATTTTATTTCAATATAGCCTTATAAATCATTTATTTGAAACTAATAATATTGATGTAAAAAAATATTTATTTGATATAAGAAAATTCTTTTCAAAATAAATAAATATTTATTTATTTCAAATAAATGATTTATTAGGCAGTATTGAAATAAATATTTATTAATTTAATAATTATTTTTTCAGTGTATTAAAAAAATTTTGTACAAACGACATGCAATTGCAGAGCAATTGAAGAGATATATATGCAATAATTTATTAAAATTTTTGACAGATAAAGTATCTGACAAAGACGATGCAAAATAAGGTGACGATATTTTTGGTGCCAATTTATATTCAATGTCTAATATTTTGCATGGCGAACGATTTGTTTCACAGCATTCTTTATATAATAAAATTTTTGTTGACGTTTTATGATTTATTAAAATTTTTGACAGATGAAGTATGAATTTTTTAGTGGCAATTTATATTCATTTATTGTCCAATTTTTTGCATAACGAAAACGATTTTGGTTGTTTCGGAGCATTCTTTATATAATAAAATTTTTGTTTTATGATTTATGAAAATTTTTGACAGATAAAGTATCTGACAAAGACGACATAAAAGGTAGCAATTTATATTTATATATAATATCTAATTTTTTGTATAACAAAAACGATTTGTTGCAGAGCATTAGATATATAATAAAATTTTTGTTGACGTTTTATTAAAATTTTTGACAGATGAAGTATGCATTTTTTAGTGACAATTTATATTCATTTACTGTCCAATTTGTTGCACAACGAAACCGATTTCGGTTGTTTCGGAGCATTCTTTATACAATAAAATTTTTGTTGTTTTATGATTTATGAAAATTTTTGACAGATAAAGTATCTGACGAAGACAACATAAAAGGTAGCAATTTTTTAGCAGCAATTTATATTCATATATAATGTCTAATTTTTTGTATAACAAAAACGATTCGTTGCAGAGCATTAGATATATAATAAAATTTTTGTTGACGTTTTATTAAAATTTTTGACAGATGACGTATGCATTTTTTAGTGACAATTTATATTCATTTACTGTCCAATTTTTGCGCAACGAAACCGATTTCGATTGTTTCGGAGCATTCTTGATACAATAAAATTTTTCTTGACGTTTTATGATTTATGAAAATTTTCCGCAGATGTGTAAAACAAGTGTTGAGCGTTACTTACCGGATGCGGGGAGGAATGAAGAGATCGGATTTTTCCGACGACGGGAAGCGCGCTAAACGGAAGAACGATCGATGCCCAGGGCGCAAACGTCGTGGCACGACGAGCATTTTCGCACGTGTTCGCAGGCCTGTCTGCGCGATTCCCGTAATCCCGCACACTCGAGGCTCTCGTTTCTCCCTGCAAAAGAAGGAGAAGACGGAATTGAAATCGGCTTTCCGAAATTGCGCGCCGTCCCGTAAGCATCCCCAGGGAGGAAAAATGCAAACACGCCCTCATCGAATGTGTGTTGTGTGGCCCGTCAAAGGAAAGGGAGATGACAAAAGCGCAGAATTTTCGGAGCTGAGAGAAAGAGAGAGAGAGAAGAAAGGAGAGCTCGTGTCGTCACTCTCGGGAGACTCGGACCTTCGTGTCTAAATCCAAAATAAATCCAAGAGAAACGTATATATTATCGGGGAGCTTTAAGTTCCAACAAACGAATCCGTTTGTGTACACGATTTTGGAGAAATTTAGGGAAATCATTTCTTTCGGGAGATCGAGAAAAGAATATTAGTTGCGTAAAGCATTAAAATAAGATTTAGAAAAGTAATTACTATATCCCAGCAGGTAGCAAGCTGACGTCAAAATGACGTCATTTTGACGTTTAATATGACGTCAGCTTGCTACCTGGGATGCTTCAGTATTCTATATATGACGATGTTAAATGTGAAGTAATTAAAATAAATTGAAAATATTAAATAAGAGTAAATTAAAAATATTAAAAAGTAAATTAAAAATATAGAAATTCGTTTTTTTTATATACATTATTATTGCATAATTATTTTACTAAAATTTGTCGTAATATTCTTTGTTACGAGAAAAAAATGTTAAAATAAGATTTTGAATTTGTCATTCATAAAAATATTAAAATCTAAAATCCTTAATTCATAAAAATATTACAACCTAAAATATCAGTTATGTAAGACTTTATATATAAAACGATTTGATTACTTTAAATATTTGAGTTTGTTATATTAATATTTTAACAAACCTCTATTATCATGAATCAACGACACGTCTTGGTTTTTTATGGACACTAATAATATAAAATTATGTTTTTGTATTCACTTGTGCAATCACTTCCGAAAGGACACGCGTCCAAATACTTGTATTATAAATATGGCAACTGTTTCAAAAAGCTACTAGCCGCGTCATCTGTTGTAATTATGACATAACTATAACTATAATTACACTACAATAAGAAATTTGTAGGAAATTGATTTTGGCGCCATCATACGAACATTATTCGAATCACGTATCTTTTCATCTTTCTCTTGCACGCGTTTCAAAAATCGATTTGTTCGAAATTGAAAAAATTATACTTATTTTTATAACAATTCACTTTAGTAACAAAATTCTAAAGCAATTTTTATACTAAAATATTTTACCGTTATTAACAATTTAGTATTAATAAATATTTTAGTATTATTAAAAATTTATTGAATAAAATTAGGGTAAAATAATTGAAGGAAAATGTAAGGATTTTAATTATATAGATTACACAAAAATATATAATATATTGTAAACGTGCTATATTGAGTTTATATTAAATATTGTGCTTAGATGATTTTAAAAATAGCTAGATAGATGAGATAAAAATATGTAATTTATCTTATTGTTAGTGAAGATGATGATGATTTTGTTTTAAATATATATATCTAGATAAAAAATAAAATTGTATGGCGATTTATCTAGATAATTTTCAGATATTATTTTTAAGATTGCTTATGTAAACACAGTTATAAAAAAATGTTAATTATAAAAAGGATATAAATATATATATATATATATATATATATATATATATATATAAATATTCATATTTTTATTTGACGCCAAAGTTTCATCTATATTGATTACTATATATTTTTTTTATTTGCAAGTGACAATTTTAATTTACAGATTTGGTTTACACAAAAATAGATAATATTGTAAAGATTTGGTTAAATTGGAGAGGAACTTTCAATATTATCAAAATTAATTATACATATATAATTGAGCATATATATATTAATATACAACTATAAAATATAACTGCGAGAATATTATTTTTTTAAGTGGAAAATTTCAAATAAGAACAAAACAATTATGCATATATTATGTCTTTTTATCATGCAATAAACTTGATATATTTTAAAAAGACAACGGTTTAAAATAAATAAATTCACCTTCTGGTCCGTGGAATACACTTTACACTTTAGTATAAATAAATAATACTATGTTCCAAAAATATTTAAAATACAATATACAATTTTTATATTATAAAATCAATTAAAGTAAAATTCAATAAAATCACATAATACATATATTACAAATAAATCATAAAAAGTAGATTACAATTAAATAAATTTAAAAATTACAAATACAATAAAAAATACATATGTTTAACGATTAAAAAACCAGTCACTAGTACGTTCTTTCTCTCTTGAGTTTCACTATAAAACTGACTACCCTTTTCTGTGATTCTTGTATGGAAAGCAGTAGGGAATGTAAGCTCCACCCCTTTCTCACTCCCACAAAAATGCGATTTTATAGATTATACATATATATTTCTAATCTAAATTCATTACAAAGATATATTCATATAACAGAAAACTTTTATCATTGCATTATATTGTTTGAATTATATCTGTATTTATATTTCAAAAAAATCTCAATATATCTAATTCTTATATTTTTATGTATATATAAAATATTATTTATATAATATGCTTTATTCTAAAGCATAATCTATTTAATAATATTTCTCTGCAGTATGACATTAAAATTCTAGTATACATTTTTTTTGAGTTGATCAGAAGTGAAAAGAGTGGAGTGATTTTTTTAATGTAGAGAATAAAAAGGGGAAAAGGGTTGAAAAGATGGAAAGGGATAAAAATTCTTTTGAAATCATTGGGCTGTACTATTGTGCTTATTCCATAGCAGCTCAACAGAGAGAGCAATCAATAATTTCATTATATATTATAGCTTTAACATATTTTTTAAAAAAGGTAAACAGTTAAATGAACTCACCTTCTGCTTGTGAGACACTTTAGTGCACATATAAAAATTTATAAATAATATACTATATTCAAAAATATTTAAAATACAATATATAATTTATATTGTAAAAATCAACTAAAGAATGTAATAAAAAATCACATGTATTGCGAATCAACTAAAAACAGTACAAATAATGAAAGATATTTCTTTAACGATTGAAAAACTAATCATAATATACTTTCTTTCATTCTAATAGTTTTAATAGAATACAGCAATGATGCTTAATGTTTGTCAAAATATATTTAAGAACATCTAGATGATACAACAAGAAACCTTTCCCAAAATATACAAAGCATGTATGCCTTTTTGATTAAATATTTATTTATATAGCTAATATTGTGAACATCATATAGAATTTTTCATTGTCTACCTTTAAATAACTAAAAATTAATTGTAAAGAATGAACATTTCAGTATACGCAAAAATAAAATGCAATCAAGTATTGTTTCTTCACAGCACTATATAAATTGTAAATTATATATCAGTAGTTCTTGTTAACAATCTAATACACTTGGAATAAGCACATTTCCCAAAGCCATCACTGCTTGAAATAATCCTGACACCCTGATAACTCTTTGAAACACACTGCCAAGCAAATTCAACGGCAGCTTGTGGCAAACTAAGCTACTTCTTCCGTGCAGAGTAGCCTGCGGGGTAGATCCAATACGGTTCTGTCCAATCACAGACAGCTCTCAACCAACCCCCAGGAGTTTATCCTCCGCAAGGAACATTGGAGAGGGATAGCAAGCGGCAGTCTCTGGAACACGGAGCATGCTCTGACGGAGCAGTCTAAATCCCATGCGTGGAACCCCCTTCATCAATTTTGACTAAAAACAGGAGAAAAAATTGACCAGTTTAATATTTCTGCAACACAGATTAATAGATGCCCTAAAAATATTGAATTTATTGATGCTTCCGACAAGTTTTAACTTATTTAACATAAAAATACTTATATGCCACGTGTCTACCAATTTATTTAAATAGAAAATACAAAGATTTTTATGCACATGTCACAAAAACTGCTCAAGATTCATAGTCAATACTTTTGCTGCTGCAACACCCTTTTTTAGCAGCTACCCTTTTTTATGGAGAAAGGGGTGACTGTACCCCTTTCAAAGGGGTTAAAATATAAAAGAGGGGACTGTGTATAGCATTACAGAATCTCTTGCTACAAGGGGTTAAATGGCAAACTGGAAAATGGCAGTCAGAATTCCATATTCACCGAGATTTTTTTATAATTATATAAAAATATTGACATTTTTTTTCATTTCAAAGTTTCGACAATATCATAATATTTTACTATAAAAAATAATTTTTAAAAATTGCATAAAGATCTGTTACGAGAAATTAACGACGAATTTGATTATAATTTACAATTGTTAAAAACTATAAAGATTTATATTTTTTGTCTGTTTTTTTCTATAACCTAATAACCTGTATGACAGAATAGATTTTCTTATTTTAAAAAGTAAGAATTTAAAATAAGAATGATAAAATTATATATTAATCTTACTCTTGTGAAATGTAATTTCTATTATTTCTTAACAAAATGTTTCATATTTGTTTCAATCATCACAGCTAAAAAGAGAGATGTTTATCAACTCACTTGCAGGTTAGAATTGATTCGATCGAACTCTCCACTTTTTATCTACAGAGTTTAGTTAGTTCCAACATTCCAGTATAGTTAGCGACACCATAATGTTTTAAAATGTAATAAAATAATCTGAAAAAATAATAAATTTATTATAATTAATAATACAATTAGAAATAATAATATTTAATATATATATATATATATATATATATATATTAATACAATTGATATTTCAAATCATTTTATAATCGTTATTAATATGTTTATTATTTTTTCACATTTTCTCTCTTATAAATAATATTTGATATTTATATATCATAATATTATTAATATTTTATGTTTATATCATAGTGTAGGTAATAATCACATACATAATTGCAATTAATTGTAATAATAAAGAAAATAAAAGATTTCCCTAGGTTGCTCTACGTGGCTCTATGCGCCTGCGCCGTATTAAAGCACGTGTCTCACGTGGCTGTCAAACAGCTGTCAAAGCAGTCACGTGACCGGCTGCTCGGAGCGCGCATGCGTTAAGGTCTACGACCTCACTAGTCGTGATGTTCAGAATTCTATTTTTTCAATGGTGTTTTTAAATTGACTGAACCTTACTGAAAAAATGACATTATATCACTTTGGAAATTGTTTGGCGTTGGTTTACGTGCCGTATTACTTGACCTACAAATATTCCGGCTTGTAAGTATCCAAGGAAGATTTTTTAGGTTTTCTAACCTAGACTTTATTTAAAGGGTGCAAGGTAGTAAAGGGAGACTACTTTCAGATCAGAATACGGTGCCTTCTGGAAATGCATCCAAGCAGGTGGAATTTACATCTTCACGCAGCTTGTAAAGATGCTGGCGCTCGCTACATTTTTCCCAACCGCTGACAATGTCGGAGATGAGGGCTTTGATGTTTTTGGGGTATGTGTTATCAGTTCTTTTCACAATAAATTTTGTTTCTTTGCAAGTGAGAAGGGAAAATGCGTATACTAGAGGATGGACACGAGCCTGGACACAAACTCAATCTATCAGATTATTTTATATAGTGAAAAAATGAATAGTATACCATTAATTTATAATTCTTTAATTTTTCAGTCCAGTTTTGCATTAAATTGATGAATTTGTGAATATGTAGAATCAATCAATTAATTGGTCAATTTTTATTTCACATATTATACTCAAGAATTAAGAAATATTGTAATATATTATAAATTACTTTATTTCTTTAAAATAACTTTGACAAGAAAAGACTTTAGATTTAGATTTAGGTGGCATGCTTTTTTTCCTTACATTATCTTAATCTAAGATTTTATGTGTTTTTAGGAATTTTTAAAATCATCTATCGATCTGGCGGATTTGGTGGGAATATTCTTGGTATTAAATGGTATTCCTGGTAAAGGTCATGCTAAGGTATTAACTGCAGGCATAGGATGGGCAGGAGCGGAAGTGTTACTCACGAGATTCTTGTTACTTTGGGTTGGAGCTCGAGGTGCCGAGTTTGATTGGAAATATATTCAAAAGAGTCTGGAGTCAAACATCAATTTGGTAAAAATTTACCGTTTGCTTAATTATGAGAAATTAAAGCAATTATTTCAAGCGAAATCTGTTTTTTTAACTTTGTTAATTATCACAAAAAAGTGTAAAAAAGTTTGTAGACTTATGTAATTTGTTTTCAACAGGTTCAACATATAACGACTGCAACATTGGTTTGGTTGTGGTCTAGACATGATTTACGACGTGGCTTAGTTCCTTTAGTAATTAGTATGCTTGTACTCACAGTGTACAGACCGCTTGTGCTAGATTTTCTTACATCACTTTTATTAGCTGGCCCATGGTCGACATTAATTATTAAAGCCGTCACTACCTTTTTCATGGGCGCGACAACATTGCATATTTATGCTGGTCTCGCGCATTCGATTGGCATTTTCTGAACAATATACATTGTATTTATATACATACTTACTGAATGTACAGTCGTTGAACATAATGTCTTTCATTCCACATTTTCTCCGGTAAAAAACTATTTAAACCAAATTGTATATTACGTAATAAATGCTTTTATGTATATGTATTATATTATTTTTATTATTTTGTTTCATCAAACATAAATTTAATCAATTACAATATATATAAAGAGAGAATCATGCTATAAAGATTAATTGAAGTTAAATGGAAACACTGCGCATCTCACGTCATAATTTAATTTTCTTGATGTTCAAACTATATTTATATAAATGATGCCTTATACTCCAATTCTTTCGGTCGAAAATATAAATTGTTACTTTTAATTATTTTTGCATTATTATTGTCGTTATGTTTATTGCCATTAAAATATATTTTTAAATTTAATTTAAATACGTTCAGTCTTTATAACAGCTCTATTATTTTGATTTATGTTCTCCAAGATATTCTTTTGGAGAACAATGGCCGTATGGGTTCTACTCTCTCATTTTATTCTTTATTCTAAGAGATACAACTCTATTGCGGTTAATGGACGACAGTGACCGCAGGCCTGTACGTAGATATTTATGGTAACAATCGTTTCAAAATAGAGCTCGCCTTGATTGCTTTGAATTCGAGGCTGTGCCAAAACTAAAAGGGACCAGCTGCTTTTATATCTCTTTAATGTCTCGTAAGTGTCTTTGAAAGTACAAAATTATTTTAATTTACTTCACAATAAATCCACAACTGTCTTCTAATTATTTTCAATATCTGAATATTGCACATCGGATTTGTGTTAAAAAATGTAAATAATATATGAGTAATATATAATAATACATAAATAATAAATAAATTAATCAAAGATAGAGCGTGAATATAAGAGCAATATATATAGCTTATTTCTAATATCTTTTTTCTTTATAAATCTAAATTTTTAAAAAATCTTTCTTTAAATCTAAGTTAACATTTTGCAAAAATATTTATTAATTTTATTTTATTATATTTTATTAGCCTTATTAATTACATAATAAACGTATAAATTATAAACACAGAAAATGTGTGCTTCAATTTATATAATTTACAATAATTGATTCGTTTGAATGAATTCTAACATGAAGAAATTCTTGTTCCGTAGAAATCGTTAATTGTAAAATTTACCGTAAATAATGTGCAAAATTTCCTTGTTTTAATAACGCATTTAATAGCGGTTTGCCTCATTATAAGGAAGTGATTCACAAAAGAAGGAAATCTTAATCAACTTACAGCATTTTTAAAAGACTGAAAAATCCCAATAATATTCTTATTAGTATTCTAAACATTTTAAAAATTTTTGCTTTAATAATCACATCCTTAAGTTTAATAATTTTATTATTAATAAAATTTATTATTTATTATTTATTTTATAAATAAAATTATTGAACTTAAAATATTAAATGTTACATACCGATAAAAATTAGTATTAATTATAATTTGTACGTTATTCATGAATTTTGCTTAAATGTAATTCAAAAAGAATAATTTACTCAGGCGCAGAACAGATCCGTATACGGATCTGACGTGATCCAACTTTCCAGTTAACTCGATATAGAGCTTCGTTGAATTCAAATAGACCATTAACTAATAACGCACAATCATATCAATAAACTCTCGTAAAAATTGACGTATATTATTTGTATATGCAAATAAGATTGCGGCGATCCACATAATCTTTCTCAATTGCCTCGATCAATGGTCGCGTCATTATATATATTATCGCCTTTTCATATTGAAAAGTATATATATTTTATAACGGTATTATTTTTTTGTTCCTTTGATTAAAAATGATCTTCGCACAAAGAAATTAAATTTTACGAGTTTACGCGATATGTTAACGAATAATGTAATAAATATACTCACCAATAATTTATTGAAGTTAATCGCAATTGCAGTCAATATCATATTTTGTTACAGATCAAGCGTGACCTCTCTATCACGCATCGGAGTAGCATTTATCACGTGTAAACCCGGGAGAGATACACATTTAAAATGTGCTTTCCCCTGTTATCATCTAATAACCTAAGCTTCTGACGTTTACTTACGTAGATGTAATAAAAAAAAAGCTCATCTCTCTCGTGTGGGGTAATTACGTGTGTGACTGTCTCATCGTTATTGTAAACACAATATATAGATACTCATCTTCATTTGTTGTTATTGTGAGAATTTTTAAGTTTCGTGAAATTTTCCACAAAATTTTTATAAGCTTAATTAATATATAAATATGAAGTTTTATAAAATTTCTGGGGAAAACCCTCCCTCTTCCTCACAATTTTATTTTATATATTTTTATTATATATAATGTTTGTATATATAATAAAATTGTATAATACGTATATCTAATTATATATGAATTTATTATAATTAATAATTATTTGACTATAATTAATAATCATTAAAAATAAAATTTTTCTTGATTTCAAATGTCATATTTAATTAATATTTTTGTTAATATTTTTGAAATAAGAATTATGATGAAATACGTAGACACAGCAAAAGACTGCTATAAAAGTTTTCGATCGATTATTATTTCGTCAGCTTATCACGAAAACGATACGTGCCTATAAGTGCACATACATGTATGTATACATACATACATTATATATATGGTATATATGCAGATATTACATCATTTATACTTTGTTAGTCTAATTAATTAATTAACGAGGTACGAAATATTTTTTAGTATCTTAATTTTAAATTTAATTCAATATTATTTTTAATTTTTATATATTATAATTTTTATATATATTTTATATATTTTATATATTATATATTATATATTATATATTTTATATATTATATATTATATTTTCAATATTATTTATAATTTTTAATTTAATTCAATATTTCTAATTTAATTTAATTTCTAATTTAATTATTTAACCTGATTTCTTTTGGTGAGCTTTTTTGGTCCTCTTTTTTTCGAAGTTATTTCGACACCGAAGCAAGTTCCAAAGTCCACTTTGCCTATACGGAGGAGTTGCTCCACATTGGCGTACACGCGATCTAACCCGGGCAGGTCAGGACATTAATGGGCGCGACTCCTCCATTTAACTCCGCCAATGACGAAATAATCGTACACGCGCCTCTGGATGGTCGTTTGCCAAACGATTACGTGAAAATAGGAAAAACAGCCGTGGACTTTGCACATGCGATCCGCCAAGAAAAATGATGCGAACTGGTTTATTTCATCAAGCGTACAACATATGTAATTTATGATTCTAATCAGATATGTATATTAGATGGTATATCCTCGAATTGGAATAAATTGTCGTGTGTAGCTCTAAACGAGGTCAAGATCTCGAAACTAGTTCTTAGGATTCAAAAATTATTATCCAATCTAAATTGGATTGTATTTAAAGTGAACAGATATGAGTGATGATCATAAGACCCCAAAAGTGACAAAGATAAGCGAAGTTAATGTTATGGGTTTAAAGGAATAAACGAGGTTCTCTTCTCGTTTATGAATTCATAGAAATTAGGGACTGGTGCTTTTTATCGCTCATGATTTTCGGGACCAGCAGACACGTCGAAATACAATCGGTCGTGAAGAAAAGGGAACATTCGCTGATGGCGCGCAAGTTTGTCCGAGTGTAGTTGGTGGTAGAGGGGCCAGCTCATCTTTCATTGGCGGATCGGCTCGCCTCTGATTCTGGTCGATGCTGCTAAAAGCCGCGATGGAACCAGAACTACTAGTCGTCGTAGACAGCAGACAACAGTACAGTATCGACCAAGCGTTCGCAACAACCGGAATCCAGCCTCGTCTGGACACTTTTGGGATCTGGTTCTTTGCGTCGCGATCAGGAGAGCGTCTTTGCTAAAGCTGAAAGAAGCCAAAATTTGGAAGAATCAATGAGTCTGCGAGAGGTCTCGAGAAGCGTTGGCTGAAATTTCTCTCTAGTACCAGCTGGCCGAAATAAATATACCCACGTAACGTCACAGCCTCGTCGTTCGGGAAGGAGAAGCCGAAGGGGAAAGAGAGTGAAATTAGGCCGCGTCAAGCAGCACAAAGGGAGAGCGATCATCCCGAAAGACTTAAAGGCTCCAAAATCGCTGTTTTTTTTTATATCGGTGATATCGGAGCGAGGTGTCGCTGTTACTATGTAAATTAACCAGCAGGTGTATTTTGGCCGCGCGCGCGCACTGTCGTCAACGAGCAACGGCATAGCATAGAGAAACACAACAACGTCGTTATCGATAACAGTGACAAAGGGAGGAACGGAGGACCGGAGCAGCAAGAGGGAAACATTACGCGGCACGCCGCGTTCTAAAGGCATTTCTCTGACCGATTCCAAGGAAGCTCGCAAACTGGCTCCAGAGGTGAGGATCAAGCAAATTGGAATGAGGGAGGATCTGCTATCCATAATACGGCACACGAGCAGCGACCACTTCTCGGAAGAGCTTTAGCCGGGAGCTTTTGCTTGACCAGGAGGTGTAGAAATACCAGGCCAGACTGGCGCGATAAAGGGAAAAAGGTAGAGAGACCTAATCGCGCGATAGAGTAGAGGTGGCTCTTGCTCGTTGGCCCTTTTTTGAAAAACTGGCCGTGTCGCGGGCTTCCTTTTGTTCCGAGGCTTAACCTTTGATTAGCCCTTGATCGAATACGTCATTAATCGACATCGAGAGACCAAAAGAGGAGAACCCAATATTAGGACGACCAGTTGTTCTCCGTCATAAGATACGGATTTCCCGGTTATGCCCTGGGTCGCCGCATGTTTTGATTTGCTGGCGGCCCCTTTACTGGGTTATTGTCTCGCGATCAGAAAATTAGCCCTGCAATCCGGCATCCTTCAGGAGAGAAGGAGCGATCTCGTTGGGAAACATCAAATACTATCTAATACGGGGTTGGCGATCTCCAACACCGACGCAGCCACGATGGTCCCTAACGCAGAAGAGCGGCAAGGTAAAATTATGCTTGATTTCGAAAGGGTATACTGCTGTGACATCTGCTTATACAGGGTGTTTCTAAAACTATGTCAGAGATTTTAAGGGCGAAGAAAAAGTTCCTATAAACAAAAATAGGTCCAAAAATACTTTCCACCGAATTATAGCTCCCTTAAAATTGGGTAAAAAATCGAAAAAAATATGTAAAAGTTTTTTTCAAAGATTTGTGAAAAAATCTCCAAGTTACATTACTTTTTTTTATTTTACCCCCAATTTTAGGAGGTTATAATTCGGAGGGAAAGCATTTTTGTTTATAGGAACTTTTTCTTTTATTTTAATCTCTAGAATACGCTCTTAAAATCTCTGACGTAGTTTTAGAAACACTGTATAATTCGTGTCTTCTCTTCTACGTCATCGCATGCTTTTTTAGTATTTGTCTCTACGTCGGGCAAGGAATCAATACGATTGCATGATGAATAACAACGCAAAATTAATTTAAAAGTGCAGGAAATGCACATGTATATGCAAAACAGAATGTACAACTTGTATCAGACAAATTATAAGCTTTTGGTTGTACGAGAATATATCTTGTGTTACGTAATCCTTGAAAAAAAATCGAGAGATTTTAAATAAAAAATTAACAGATTAGACTCTTAATTACAACCAAAATTTTGTTGCTGCGAAACTTTTTTTTAGATTCACACACTGCAAGATATCTAAAGTTTATCGTAGCATCCCAGCCAGAAATGATAGTTAAATCGACGTCGAATTAAAGTCGAATTGATGCCGAATTAGTTGAATCAATATTGATTCGACGTCTTTTCGACCGATCATTTCTGACTGGGATATATTTGAATGGAAATTAAGCTTCTTTTGAAATAATAAAGTTTTAACAAATTAAATTTTAATAAGGCTCTGGATATGACGTACCTATATATATTTTAAATTTAAATAATAAATAAAAGTCAAACACGTGGATGATTGTGCGTCAGTTTCAAGAAAAAAATAATTTATTCAACTTTCTTAAAACTGATGCACCATCATCCGCGTTTAGCTCTTATTTATCATTTAAACATTCTTAATTAGATAACAAATTTAATTAAAAAAGCAATTAAGTTGCTTTACACATTATTGTTAAATAAAATTAAAAATTATCACTTCTCAGTAAAATTTTTAAATATTATATCTATAAATTTGTCTCGTGAATAATAGCATAATTTTTTGTTTTGTTTTATCTATATTATAATTATTGTGTTGTACGCAATATAATTAAGACAATAATTTGATTAATCACTTTATTTAATCAAATAATATAATTATTTTATAAAAAGATAATTGCATCGCGTTATTCATATATACATTTCTACATATAATTTTGCTTGTTATATTACAATCAGCTGATGTTGTTGAAATGGGCAAAATTAATTTTCAATTTATGTCTCCCTCATCTCGCTTTTAAATGTCTTTATCTGTCAAAAGATACATGCATAGAACGCATATATTGCATAAATAATCAGAAAGAGAGATCCACTGATGGATATTTTACGTTACGTTAGAAGCCGGTTTATAATGAAATTCAAAGGAAACAAAAAGTGAAAGGAAAATAACGTCTCGGCTATATTGAGGTCGTCGTCTGCAATATCGCAATCAACACTATTCTTTATCTTATATTGCACTTCACACTTTATTTGCTATTTTTTGCGTCCAATTGACGAGAGCGAGAATTTTTACATGTTTAAGACGAAAGAAAAAGATGTAGAAATTTTCATATTTCGCATTGCTATATTGTTTTCAATGTGCTTTGAGAAAATCCCTGAGCTAGAATAAAAAAAATATAAAAAAATTATAAATGTACAATTCGTCAAATTAAACTTATTTATTTTCTATTTTCTTATTTTTTTTACATTTATTATTTTTATTTTTTTACATTTAACATTTTTGAGACAAATCATTAATGCATACGAAAGATAAATAACATGTTATGTACTTTGGATTCAGATTTTTCTCATCTATGTTGTATAAACTCGAGAATGCGTAATTAATCAACTTATCAATTTACGTTTCACGTTTTTGCTCCAACATCCGTATTTTTATTTGCGACACTAGATTCTCATGTTACAAACGACGTTGTTTCACATAACATTGGATTCTAACAATGCTAATTCATCTTGAAATATAATTCCATGAATATAGTCAATAGAATAATCAATAATCGCGTTTGAGAGGAAAAAAGAGAGACATGTAAAATCAAAATATATTATTAAAGGTTAATGAGTTAATCATATGTGAACGCGTATTGCATCTATAATTTCTGTTTCTGATACATAAATCTCATATCCTGTTTCATAATGTAATAGTTTTCATTTAAATTTGCAGCTTTCACGTATGCACAATCAAATAATATATCCTTTCTTACGAAAAGTATAAAGAATCTTTTTATATAAAAATATTTAAATAGAAAATAGAATTAAAAATTGATAAATATTATAAATAATATATTTATTTCTTTTTATATAAAATCGCATGTTCGTGTGAGAGAAAGGGGGAGAGAGAAGGGGGCAAAAAATAAAAATTTTACAATCAATATTTTTACAGATTATTATACATTGAGAAATTCTTCTTTTCTGCAAACCAAACATTATATCGATAAATATTATCTATCTGCGACGATAAATTTAAAATTCTGAAACGTTTTTTCAATTTATCATTCTGGAGTGGCATTGAGAAATCGATAACTTATCACCATTTCGTCCAAAGACTTGTGTAAATTATGTATGTACAAAATATTTTAAAGTTATATGTTACGACTTTTCGAATTAATTTTTTTTTATATTTCTGTGAATATAAAAAGATCTTTAAAATAATGAGATGAAATGATATTAAGAGTTATAACTTTTTAAGAATTGTTATTAAATTTTATATTTACTTATAAATTATTAACTAAAAACTTAAATTAAATTCTTAATAAAATATGACTTATTTCTATTTCTTTCTTAAATAAGATTTTTATTTGTAAAGTTATTTATATTTATTTTATCATATTTTTTATATATTTAATGGATCCTTTACATATATAAAATTTTTATTATTAATAATTAATTTAAAAAAAGAACTTTCATAAAGTTTTAACATAAAATTGATTACAAATTGTTTAAAACATTTTTGAACTCTTTAATCTCAGTGTTAAAAATTAGATTATTCCTGACATGTTAAATATTCGTCATTTTTATCATTAAATATATATTATATGTACATGTGATAAAAAAGAGATTTAAGTGGAACGATAAATGATTTCATACGTGTTTCCCGCATAATAATAATTAAAAGTATAGTCTATCTCTTAATTATTGATTAGATAACATGAAATAATTTTGTATCAATTTAGAAAGAAGATAAGAGCTTTTATTGTATCTCAACATTCTCAACCTCCAGATAATAATTTCTTTGATATTTTCCTCTTGAGGCTGTCATCTCTGTTTTGCTTGCAAATAACCGCAAACAATAATAATCACACATGTAGTATCATAATCAATCATAACAATAATTATAAAATTATTAGTTTAGTTAATTTTGCACTCTCGTGCAGTCTTAATTAATATACATATAATAGGGCTCATCCTTTATGATAAAAAAATTTTAATAAGACGTACTGTATTCCCATACAGCACAAATATTATGAATGTTCTCAAAAAATATTTCAAAATATTTCTATAAAATATTGTATAAAACATTTTAAAATGATTTTAAGAATATTTTAAAATAATTTAAAAATTTGTTGTAATAATATTTTTTTAAATATTAAAAAAAAATTTTTTTATTATTTTTAAAAATGTTCTTCCTTATCACCCAGATAATATTTTCTTGAATATTTGATACATATTTTTGAAATCTTAGTTTAAATCTATATTCAAAGATATTTCTGAAAATATTTTTTAAACATGAAAAAACGGACATAGAAACATTTTAAAATATTTATATTTTCGAGAATTATTTTGTCTTTTAAGAAATATTTTTCAAAGATTTTAAAAATATTTTCGAGAATTATTTTGTTTTTTAAGAAATATTTTTAAAAGATTTTAAAAATATTTTCGAGAATTATTTTGTTTTTTAAGAAATATTTTTAAAAAATTTTAAAAATATTTTCGAGAATTATTTTGTTTTTTAAGAAATACTTTTAAAAGATTTTAAAAATATTTTGTGCTGTATGGGTAAAAGAAGTCAAAGAAACTGAAATAATTATTCTATTTTGTCACGTACAATTTTCCGCGTATTTAATTTTTTCGCGCGAATTATCTTATTGGCTTCGGTGACGCGCGGAAAAGCCCAAACACAAAACCAATGTGCACGCGCGTTCGCGTTCTAAATATAAAAATTCGTTCCTAGTGTGGGAACACGAGGCATCATACATATTGATGTGCCAGTTCAAGCGACGATGTCTCAGTATACGTGAGTGATTTGCATATCGAACAAGCGCGGAACAAAATCAACTTTCAATTCTTTCGTCGACTGTCACTTAACTCTGACGTCCCTGTCAGCTGTTCGACGATAGTCGTGTGCACGCAGCAACCTCTAATCTTTATTATACTTTTACGGAAATATGTGTGTGTTGGGTAAGATAATTTTTCCGTTGCGTTAATAAACACAAAACAAGTAAACGAGGTAAATATTGACAGTGCTCGAAATTAAAAATTATTATCGTGTTGTGCTAAAAAATATAGCACATATAGGAAGAAACATTACGAGACTTTAAGATATTGTATTGTAAATATGGGGTAGAATTGATTCTCAAAATATCAGAATTTTTCCAACTCACAAACATTTTAATTAATAAAATTACATCTCATGTATTTTCTTTATTTTTTATATATTATATATATTATAAAATATTGTAAATATGAGGTAGAATTAATTCTCAAAATATCTGAATTTTTTGAATGGCTCACAAACATTTCAATTAATAAAATTACATCTTATATATATTTTCTCTATTTTTTTCTTATTTTTTATATATTATATATATTTTTATGTATTATATATTATAAGATATTGTATTGTAAATATGGGGTAAAATTGATTCTTAAAATATCTGAATTTTTTAAATGGCTCACAGACATTTTAATTGATAAAATTACATCTTATATATTTTTTCTCTATTTCTTCTTCTTATTTTTTTATATACAATGAGCTCTTTTGTAATCTGTTGATACTAGAGAGCGCTTGAGAATTTAAATTAAAGTCTCATTCACTGACTAATCTATTTCTTCATTGTGTTATTTATTTGTAAAATAACTTGTGAAGTCGCCGTTTTGTCTAGAAGATGTATTTTTCGACTCGGAGCTATTGAAATAATTACAGTGTTTTTTCTACATAGATATAGCCTTCAATGAGAAATTAACGTTTGTTATGACGCAAAATTGTTTTTCTGCGCGTAGAAAAATGTGATGTCGCATAACGTTTTATATACGTCATGTTTATTGCTTAGAGTGCTTCATACTCGTAATTAGATGTTTTTCCAAATGCGTGACGCATCATAAAAATTCAAGATAAACAATATATATATTTTTTTCAATGATTCTATTTACTTGTGCTTTCGCGACTCCTGACGCACTTGCTCGAAGTAAATATTTTACGTTTAATGTTATTTTAAAGTAACGCAAACACACATTTCCGTATATACGTTCTTGCAGGCCAAAGTCACGCTGTCATTTCGTGCGAATTAGATATATCTAATACATATATCTAATCATTCTCATGTTACTTCGCTTTTATTTGCAGCCGCAAAGTCAGACATACTGCCAAAATATATACTCACTGCTACAAGAAATCCTCATTCAACGAAATTCTGACGAATAATTATATTTAGCTTTTGTTCTTTGTAATTTTCGAAAATTTTGACATTTCGGAGAAAACATTCGAAAATACTGAAAATACATTATATCATTATTTTCCGCCTTTTATTCTTTATTTACAAGAAATTAAATTAATTGAAAACAGAATGCGATTTTAACACATTGTCGATATAATATAAAGGTCTAGCCACGAATAAACGATGAACTTTGATCGTTTATGTGCTAAATTCAGCGCATCTGTCAAATTATATAATAAATAAAAACATTTTTTAAGGGCGTCTATTTATTTACTACAAGAAATTAAATTAATTAAATACAATTTAATACAATTTGATTTCACATAAATGTGTTATAGAAGGTTTTGATATTTTTTAAATAATTTCTAAAATATTTCTTGTACATTTTAGTACACTTTTAATAAAAATTGTTCTTTAATATTGTAATGAAAAACAATCTAGTTACTCACAAAATAATGAACTTTGGTCTCTGATATGCTAAATTCGATACATTAAATTACGTAATATATAAATATACAACTCTTTTAAGGTCGTCTATTTATTTGTCGCAATAACATATTGTTGATTTACGTAATGTGTTTTTAAGAATATTTTTTAAAAATTTCTAAAATATTTTGATATATTTTAATATATTTTTTAATATTGTATTGAAAAAAATAAAAATCTAGTCACTTGCAAAATAATGAACTACGATCGCGGATATGCTAAACTTGGTGCACCAAATTGAATAATAAATAAATATATAATTTTTTTAAATTTGTCTATTTTTTCTGCTTAGATCCTGGCAAGGAAAAGGTCGCAGCACGAATGCCGGCAGTAGCGAAGTCATCGCGCAAATTTGTGGGGGTTGTTATAGCCATTTGTGGCTTACCGGCTCGTGGGAAAAGCCAAATCGGCCAGAGTCTTGCTCGTAGACTTAACTGGAATGGCGTAACCACAAAAGGTAAAAAATGCATATTTAATGCTATATATACATACTTAAATAATTATACATTGTGTCTGAGACACACATCTGTTTCATGACTCTATCCAAAGATTTATCGTAATCATTATCGTTTATCTCATGTTGATTTTTATTCTTAATTAAACATACGTGTCGGAGAACCTGTTTTGCGAATTAAAATGCAAATTCCGTTTCAGTGTTTCGCGTGAGTGATTATCGAAGGAAACGATTCGAACCTCATATATCACACGAACTCCTCCTGTCAGATAATACGGCAAACAACACGTTAATAGCCCTTGCACAAAGAGATGCCATGCTGGATTGCGCGGCCTGGCTCGCATCAGGAAATACCGTAGCGGTAAGTATTCAAGGATAATTTTCTATATGTGATTATATTCGTAAAAAAATTGCAAAATATTATTCTCGCTATCATTTATTTTTTTTTATTTTTATTGCAACACAAACGCGCACTTGCGTGCACCATTCTTGGATTTTATGTTCAAAGGAATATTTTCAAAATAATAATATAAAGTTTGTTTTAACTGGATTAATATTTTTGACAGAAATCAACTGATAACTGTCAAAAATATTAATCAAGTTTAAAGTATTACAATATACATTTTACTTCAAATATATTATTTTAATTATTATATCATATTATTATTTTAAAATTTAATTAGCAAATTAAGGTTTAAATCAGCTGATTTCTGTCAAAAATATTAATAAAGCGTTAATTTGCTAATTAAATTTACACATAATAATATGATAAAAAAATTAAAATAGTAAGTATGCTGTAAATAATATGTTATAATACTTGATTTGCGATTAATACTTTTTGACAGAAATCAGCTGATAACTGTCAAAAATAATAATCGCGTTCAAAGTATTATACCATATTATTTGAATTTTCATAACATATTATTATTTTAAAATTTAACTAGCAAATTTTTTTAATAATAAGATTGAGTGACCATTAATCTTGGAAAGTCTAGAATCGATTTTTCAGAAGAACTGACATTGCACCTCTATTAACTGGAACTCTCCTTATTTTTAGCTTCTGGATGCCATAATAACTACACGAGCTCAGCGCGCGGAGGTCCACGATTACTTTTCCGGTCAGCTGGGTTATCGCGTTCTATTCATTGAATGCGTCTGCGACGATCCGGAAGTCCTGGAGCAGAATCAGAAGGAGATCGTGAGACATAGCGCCGACTATGCAGGCGTGGATGCTGCGGTGGCTGCGGAAGATCTGCGCTCAAAGATCGCCTTTTACGCCAGATCATACGAACCGATGGACGACAGGATCTATCCCAGGATCAGAATTGACACCGCTACTATGGACATCGAAACCTGCAAGGTATCCGGTCACATTGAGACCACCGTGCTCGGATACCTCGGGGACATCAGCCTTAAACCCCATACGCTCTATTTCTCAAGGGTAAGCAGTTAACATATTATATTGCATTATAAAAAAATTAAAATTAACAAAGATGTACTTAATGTAATTTTTAAACATTTTTATATATACATTTATTTTCTTTTTTTTCGTCTTTTTAAAAATATGTAACTTTGTATTTTTTAATTTAAAAGAGAGAGCTTTAACGAAAATCCAAAACCCTGTTTTTGACAGTTATCAGCTGATTTCTGTCAAAAAGTATTAATTGCGAATAAAGTATTATAACATATAAAAAATAATAATATTAAATAAATATTAAAAATAAATATTAAAAAAATAATAATATAAAAATATCTAATAAAAATTGAAAAATTAAAAAATTAAAAATTTTTTAAATTTATATTTTTATATCGTGTTTTATATACAGCACGGTGAAAGCGAGTACAATGTGCTCGGTAAAGTCGGCGGTGACGCGGTGTTAAGCGCCCGGGGTGAGCGTTATGCTCAAGCTTTGTCAACCAAGTTCAATGCCATGCGTATTCCCGATCTGCGGGTCCTCACCAGTCGCCTTCGCCGAACAATCGCGACGGCGCGCGGGATCGAGGCCCCTCAGGAACACGTGGCGGCTTTGAACGAGCTTCACGCGGGAGTGTGCGAGAGTCTCTCCTACGAGGAAATGCAAGAACATTATCCGCAGGTAATTTATCATTTATTAATAAATTCTAATAATAGCTCGCAGCGAAGTATTACAAAAATAGCATCCGAGTCAATGAACGGATAAATAGGTTCCCAAAGAAACTTTAAATGTCAAAAATGTGTCCTCTCTCTGTCCGAAAAAATACAAGGAGCCTTTGTATTTAGAGTTCTCTTAAAATATAACAAAAAAGAATTTTTGGTACCCAGCAGCTGCTATAAAAAAATTGTTACAGTGCAATATGTTGATATTACGCAGCGATTCGTACATTGATAAAAAGTGAAAAATTATATGCATTGACACAAGAATTACAGCGTATCATTATTTAAACGATATCAGAGATAGTCAGAGATATATATTATCGGATGATAATATTTACAACGTGATCACGCTATATTATAGATTATATGGAATTATTTTTATTATTTTAAAAATTTGTATTATTTTTTATTACATTAAATTACTGATGCATCTTAGAGGAGAGATTTATGGTCAAAAATAGAGATCACACTCTCTATATATTATACATTATATAAAGTTATTTTTATTATCTTTTTATATTATAAATTATTGATGGATTTTAGAGGGGAAATTTAGGATTATAAAACCTCCTCTTCTAAATAGAAAAAATTTTTTAATGAAAAAAATTAAAAAATAAAATAAAGTAAAAATGAGATTACGCGTTTTTATTATTTTTTAATACAATAAATTATTGATAGATTCTAGAGGGAAGATTTAAAATCAAAACCCCCTTTTCTAAATAAAAAAAAATAATTTTTATTATTTTTATTATTTTTAAAAAATTTTCATTATTTTTTAATACATTAAATTACTGATGCATCCTAGAAGACAGATTTATGGTTAAAAAAAATTAAACAATATTAGAAATAATCAGAGATCACTCTATATATATTATACATTATAAAAATTATTTTTTATTATTTTTAAAAAATTTGTATTGTCTTTTAATACATTTTTTAAATTACTGATGAATTCTAGAGAGGAGATTTAGGGTCAAAATTCCTTCTTTTAAATAAAAAAATTATTAAAAAAAAAATTTTTTAAATAGAATAAAAATAAGATTACACGTGAACAATTGATTTGACGACAGGAATTCGCGTGGCGCGATCAGGACAAGCTGCGCTACCGTTATCCCTGGGGCGAGAGTTACATCGACGCGATGCAACGCGTCGAGCCGGTGATGGCCGAGCTGCAGCGCTCGAATAACGTCCTCGTGGTGTCGCATCAGGCCGTGCTGCGCTGCATCATCGGATTCTTCCTCGATAAGAAGCCCGAAGAGCTGCCCTACATGGAGGTGCCGCTGCACACGATAATCCGTATCACCAGCCAGGGCTACAATTACAAGCTCGAGTTCTTCAAGCTGCCGATCGAGTGCGTCAACACGACTCGCGTGAAACCCCAGAATTGCAACGGCGATCGAACCGCCGCGGATGCTCTCATCACGGTTCCAGATCACTACGACATGCCGGATCCTTGGAGAAATCCCGGCAACGGACCTACTCTTGTGCAACAGCATTAAAAAAAAAAAAAGAAAAGAAAAAATATATATCAATCCGCCGGTTTGGAAAGCGGCATAAATCCAATTCTTCAGCCACGATAAGAGTTGAAGAATTTTAGTGATGAATTTCACGAATTGCAAGCAGTGCGTGAAAAAAAAAATATAATATGAAATATAAAATAATCGAGCGATTGTCAATTGATAATATATATATGGAGGATTAACGAGAGGTGTTAAAAGATCGATTTACGCCACGTTTTAAACAAAGTGGCGTAGTCAAAATTATTTGTCTGCTTGTTTGCAATTCTGGATATAAATATTATCATTATTATTATTATGAGAAAAAATTAATTAATTGAAATATTACAATTTAAAACAATTAAATAGATCGCTATCTCTAAATCCTCTCGTAGTTGCGAATAAAAACGAGCCAATTTTGTTTGTCTTAAGCGCAATAGTTGATAGAAGCGAGGAATGATTTAATCTAGATTTTAATGAATACACGCACACGGTAGAAAAATGTTTGTCTTCTGATTTCGAGAGTCTTTTTGACACAATATGAAGAAACACACAGATTTTTAAACACGGATACCTTTCCCATACAGCACAAAATATTATGAATGTTTTCAAAAAATGTTTCTAAATATTTTTATAAAATATTGCATAAAAACATTTTAAAATGGTTTTAGGAATATTTTTAAATGGTTTAAAAATGTTTTGTGATAACATTTTTTAGAATATTTTAAAAATCTTATTTATTTTATTTAAAAACTATTTTTGAAGTATTAGTTTAAATCTATATTCAAAAATATTTTTAAACATGAAAAAGCGGACATAGAAACATTTTAAAAATATTTTCGAGAATTATTTCATCTTTCAAGAAATATTTTTCAAAGATTTTAAAAACATTTTGTGCTGCATGGGTTGACACTGACTCGTCGGCGAAGTTTTGCGAATGTTTTTTTCCCATACAGCACAAATATTATGAATGTTTTCAACAAATATTTTTATAAATATTTTTATAAAATATTGCATAAAAATATTTTAAAATAGTTTTAGGAATATTTTTAAATGGTTTAAAAATGTTTTGTGATAATTTTTTAGAATATTAAAAAAAATTTATTTATTTTATTTAAAAACTATTTTTGAAATATTAGTTGAAATCTATATTCAGAAATATTTTTAAACATGAAAAAGCGGACATAGAAACATTTTAAAAATATTTTCGAGAATTATTGGATCTTTCAAGAAATATTTTTCCAAGATTTTAAAAACATTTTGTGCTGTATTGACACTGACTCGTCGGAAGTTTTGCGAATGTTTTTTGTGGATCGACTTTGACGTTAGATTTACGTGATGATATATCAATGATATCGATTCTAATTACCATCTTAAACTTGGACGAAAATTGGGAAGCCCAAGGCTCGGAGCCCTCTACTTATCGCGAAACATATGGTACAGTTTTGTCAACATTTTATAAAATTGTTCGGGAAGAAGGAGGTGATTCATATATTACCTGATTACGTGCTAAATATACGTACAGATTTGTACATAGAATCGACGAGAGAAAATTTGGATGTTGGAAACAGTTTTGTGATAGATATAATAAATAGTAGGACATAGAAAAAACAAAATCGCTATGCAAAATTATTCATCATTTTCTTGTTCGTATTTTAGCACTTTTTTCAGTTTTCTGTTTCTTGAGTTTTCTCTTAAAGTATGTTGTAAAATTTTTATTCCGTGCTGTGATCGATTTTTCATACATAATTTATTATTCAAGCGAATTTAATTATACAATCATGTATACGTAACACTTGATTTTTGAAACAACGTAATGCACAAATTAATTATCCGGCCTTATTAACGACGATCCGAATCAGCAGAAAATTTATCTCCGGATATTTTAAGATCTTATATTTTTATAAAGGGATATATAGATATTAGATGTAATTATTATAATTACTTTCTTCATAGCAATTAATTGCTATGTATGTGTCCGTAATTATTCTTAATTTCTAAATATAAAATTATATTAATTAATTATATACATTATATTATTTTGCGTAGATATAAGTCATAAAAAAAGAAGCTCTTTGCAACGAAACGAATGATCGAAAAAGAATGTTATTATTAATACTGAAATAGCTTATCACACGTTATCGTATAGATAGAAGCTTTATATTGCTTCCAGTTAATGGCTTAAAGCCGTCATAAGAATTATAGATAACTGTTAAAAAAATCTATAACAAAAAGGGTTTATTATTTTTTAAAAATTTTTACAAAATAAGCATTGGAAATGTATAACAATTGGTAAACATTGTTATTATTTGATCTTTGCTACTGAACTTGTTTTATGGAATTTTTCCATCGCACATATTTGTAAATTAGGCCTGTTTAATTCAATAAATCGTCCTAGAGATTTATTGTTAGAACGTATATATATTTTTAGCATAGACGCACTATAAAATACGCAGAAAAAAGTGGATATTTAACGATATGTGCATTTTGGTAGAAAGCAAATCAACCGTATATAGTTGTGTTAAAAAGTTGACGAGGTAGGATTTACAGATTATTATGTAGAGCATTTTTTGTGTGTATTTTGTGTGTGTGTGTGTGTGTGTGTGTGTGTGTGTATGCGTGTGTGTATGTGCATAAGTTTGTTATGATTTAATGAAACGTAAAAATAGGCTAATCCTGGTAGATTTATCGACATTTTCTTGTGTTTTACTTTCAAATAGGATAGTTTATTGCATAAACGCGCATAATATCCGATTAGATGCGAACGCGAGATTCTCCCAAGATTCAACGCGATATTAATTAAGTTGTGAGATCTGAAAAAGAGATCCGCGTTTCCGAGAATTAGTTTGATAATTTATATTCGCGCTTCAGGGGAATAAAAACAAATCACACCGTTCACACGAGCTATGTATGTATGTCTTCCTTTCGAAATAATAAAAAGAAAGTCCTTCGATCAACTTTCGACTGCTGAACATTTTGTGACTTTCTGGATTTATTATTTTCGAGGGGATCACGAGAGATGAATTATAATTTGTAAGATGTATACATTTTACTGTTTAAGACATATATCATTCATAGTTTGGAAGTTTTAGGTTTTTTATTTGTACACTCTGTGAATAAATCTTTTTTTTTTTTTTTTACAAAATACTCGTCTTGTTCTTCTCGTGTATTTCTTGTTACATTTATCGCTAATCCTCACACAGTAGAAAAATTTGTGTTTTCTTGTTAAAAACCCCGTGAATATTTTTGTGTTAAATATTTAACACAAAGACTTGTTAAAATCCCTGTAAACATTTTTGTGTTAAATATTTAACACATTCATGTGTTAATTTAACATATTATACTGTTCTGTTAATTGAACTTAAATGTTAAATTATTAACACAACTGAAAAAAATGTAAAATAACACAATGTGCATCTATTTTTAATTTTACACAATAAATATGTTATGCTTTATTAGTGACAAAACTTATTTGTTAAAATTTACAGAAAAAAATGTTGATTTTTTATTTTATAATATAAGTGGTGATGATAAAATCTTAAATTAACATATTTTTTGTTAATTTTTACATTAAAAGTATGTTTATTTTACACAAAATTTATTTGAAATTATTTGAAGTTTTGCATTTATTTTGTGTTAAAATATTAACACAATATTTGTGTCTCCATTTAACATATCTATATTATGTTAAATTAACACAAAAATTTCTATGGACCGTTTGGGACATGTGATATTAAATTTAACAGAATTTTTTCAACTGTGCATGGTTTTGTTATAATAAATAAATAAAGATTCTGGATCTGCTGTTATAAATTCTTAAATTTTAAATTTTTTATTGTGCATTTTATTAATTATAAAATTATTTTAATATTAATACTATCTTATTAATTGTCTGTTGGATATTTTTAATATTGTGCACAGATATTCTTTTTCTGCATTTCAATTTATTTGTTCTCTTCACAGTTTGTCTTTTCAACAATCAGATGTTTCAAAACATGTGGGATGAAATGATTTAAATCTGCTCTTTTTCGATGTAAATATTTTTTTAGATTTTATCACTTCTTTTTTATTTATAAATTCGTTTATTCAAATTTTGTTACATTAATCTGTTTGATATAATTTTGTGATATATAAAGATAAAAAAAAAATAAAATGTATAAAGTTAAAATATATCTCTTGCGACTACAATATAAATACACAGGGCATTTTTTAAATTATTATCTTGATTTATGTCCATGTTATTATAGAGAAAAGTGAGTTAAATTAAAGTTTGCATGATTTTAAAATGAATAAAAGAAAATTTTTCTAGTTAGTGGTTTTTCGGAAATTTAAAGCTTCGGTGTTTTAAATAAAAATGTTTTTAATGCGTGTTGCTTTTTAATAGCACAATTTTTTATAACATTATAATAAATATCTTTCCGATTGAAAACATCATAAATTATTTGAACAGTTTGTCTAGTATTAAACATTTTCAAATGACAAATTAGTTTCCAATTTTCTATATTACAACACGTCGAACTTAAATTGTTATTATTCCATTGAGTAATTGTAAACAAAGCTAAAATTAGTAAAAGAGTAATAATTCCTTCTTCTTATCATTTTGTTCTTTTTGTAAACAGCTATCAGAGTCTGATCATAATAATCTCTAATAATTACATAACAAAATTAAAGTTACTTCCACAAATTTCCGAAATGTTTTTATGTAAAGAGATTCATTTTATTAATTTTATCTCTCTTAAAATCGTTTTTAGTTTGATCTATCTTTCTCTACAAATAATATTTATTTAAATCAAGGTGATAATTTTAAATGCTCTATCTTATTTAAAGGGTATCCCAAAACCATTGTGTCCTTTTAATAATATAGATTCTCTGGCTAATTTAGAGACAATTTCTCTTCGACAAAAATATAGCAAAGGAGATCACTATTTTAGCAACTTTCTATTTTTGTCATTTTTTATATACTTATCTTTTTGTAACTAAGCCTTAAATTAAAATTCTATTAAAGCTAACTTTGCTCAAAATTAGCTGAAAAATATAGTTTTAGGATACCCTATATATAATAAAAAAATATATATATGTCTAAAATAAATAACTTTGCAGAATAATTATGTGATAGCTATATGACTAGTTTGTTTTATAGATGACTAGATAAGTTTTCAAAGAATGTTTGCGAGAGTTGAAATGACTAAAAGTGAAGCATTGACTTTACTTAAAATTTCTAAAATATATGTCTACTCTCGTATATTAAAATAATCCAGTAATTATATTTTTAAGAAATCTTTTAAAAGGCATATTTGCGTTCATCTGTCATTATCAGCTGATTATATGCATGACCCATACAGCACAAAATATTTTTACAATCTTTTAAAAATATTTCTTAAAAGATAAAATAACTCTCGAAAATATTTTCAAAATGTTTCTATGTCAGTTTTTTCATGTTTAAAAAATATTTTCAAAAATATTTTTAAACATGGATTTAAACTAATATTTCAAAAATATGTATTAAATATTTAAGAAAATATCTGAGCGATAAAAAAGAAGATTTTGAAAAATATTTTTAAAAGTTTTTCAAAATATTCTAAAAAATGTTATAACAAAATTTTTTAAATCATTTTGAAATATTCCTAAAACCATATTAAAATGTTTTTATGTAATATTTTATAGAAATATTTAGAAATATTTTTTGAAAACATTCATAATATTTTGTGCTGAATGGAGAAAAAGAAAAATATTAATTAACCGAGTAAAATATTCTTACATGTTTTTAAATTTACATTGCATTAATGTCGGTATATATAATTAAGGTATTATTTTGTGGAACATAATTTAGACATTTTCTCTCGGCTTTCATCTCTTCATTTAAAAGAGAAAGAGAGAGAGAGAGAAAATTATGAAGTTACTGTTTACTCGAATTCATTAATTTAGCTGTATAATCTCTTTGTTTAGTGGCGAGATGCAAATCCAGACTTCTCAACATTCTCGCTCGAGTTTCCGCGCTCGACTCTCGTTTCCGCAAATCACTCGCTACAATTTTATCTCTCAAACACGATTCATTTGGTTGAAGCGTCAAATCACCAGGTTCAACCGTATCTGATAATGAGGCGGAGCTGTTTCGCGATTCTTGCACGATGCTCTTCATGAACTCAAGGGCCATTCTCCGACAAGTATCAAAACCTAATAACTGTATTCTCTTACTGTATATCGCATCCATGCGAGGATTCCTCCGATACGTTCCTCCGTCGATTATTTTTGCGAGCGAGCCGGACGTTCCCGGTAGATCTTGAAACACTTTGGCAAAAATTTCCTTCATCAAATCTTCATCGTTGCCTGACGAATCTGTAAAATAATAGCGAGATGTTGTATAAGAATAATCTTCCAGACAGAGATTCATTCGACGAGCGTCGATTATTATACTCTGAAAAAAATTTAGTTGATTCTTGGTTTAGTTCGATACGTTCAAATAAATGATTTATTTGAAACTGATAATATTGATTTGATATAAAACATATTTATTTGATATAGAAGAAAATCCTTTTCGAAACTAATAAATATTTATTTGTTTCAAATAAATGATTTATTTGAACGTATTGAACTAAATATTTGTTAATTTAACAAATTTCTTTTTTAATGTAGATTTAAATCTTATTTACAAATGGAAAAATATAAAACTGTTTATAAAAATATTATTAAAATATAAAAAGATTATAAAATGTTATAAAATATTATTAAAATATTATAAAATATTTATAAATAAAATATAAAAATATTCAAAATATTCAAAACGTGCTAGTTTTTCTTATTATTATCTTATATAAAATAAATACTTGTTAGTTTATATCATCTAATAATGTTTGATTAGTTGGCCTTTTTATATACTAAATTTTGTTTTAATTAAAAATATTATTAAAATATAAAATATTTACTTAAAATATTGTTATAAAATATTATTAAATATAAAAATATTATAAAATTTAGAAATGTTATGAAATATCATAGGTTATAAAATATTATTAAAATATAAAATATTTACCTAAAATATTATAAAATATAAAAATATTAAAAAATATTAATAATATAGATAAGTATGTATATTATGTATTTATTTCGAGAGCTGACTAAATATTCTTAATAATTAAAAATATTATAAAATATAAAAATATTGAAAAATATAAAATAAAAATATTAAAAAATATTATTAAAATATAAAATATTCACTTAAAATATTAATTGTACTATAAATATTATAAATTGCCTTTTAAAAATTATTTTTTAAAATTAATAAATGTTGTTTATAAAATAAATTATTATTCTCCTGAGATATATAATTCTCTATATATGCAAAAAGCTATTCCGTGGGAAAAAATAACTTATTCCGCTCTACATATCGCACAAATGTCACGGCATTGGCGTCGTGTTGCATTGAGAATCACATATGAATTTGACGAGATTACGAAGATACGTTGCAAGAATCAGTTTCTAGTTAAGCACGTACAGATCGACGACGTCTCATATGATTGTTGTATCATGTGAAATTTGATTTTGCAGAATCTTTCAAGAGATATTTGTGACAGTTGATACGAGTTTCGTGACCTCTCAATTTGCCCTTTTCTTTCAACCGAATTAGAAATAAATAGGTAAGTCTGAAATGTTTCCGGTCTCTTTTATAAAGATATATTATCACTTTATATGATAATTAATTACTCAGATAAATCATTCTAACACTGAGAAGTTCAGGAAAAATTGTGGTTAAACGAAAAAAAAAATAGTACAGCAAACTTTGTTTAAAACTTCACGAAGGGGTTAGTGATCGCAACTTTTTTTCCCTAAGGACATCGCGGAAGTTCTTGCTCGTGAGAACGGATACAAGATTACGATGTGATGTTTGGAGAAAGATAAAGTATCGGAAAAGTTTTGCATTACCCGGATCACCGCTGTCATGATCGATTTCTGCAACGTATGTGCCTTCATTGATCTTTCGCTGTAATTCCAGGACTCTGGCTAAAGCCAATTGAAGGTATTCCTTTGTACTTGGATCCTGTTAAAAGATGAAACGTGCGTGTATTCGGATATTGCAAGCTTCAATTGATGATAGCGACGTTAAGTAGATACGATACTCCTATTTCATTTTCAAATGTTAAGAAGTACTTTAACTACTGCTAATTATTAATTAGACATGTTTCAACATTTTCAACAATTATATATATATAATATATAATATAATAAATATATAATATAATATAATATAATATAATATAATATATATAATATAATATAATATAATATAATATAATATAATATAATATATATATAGTTGTTAATATATTTGCTAGCAAATATATTTATAAAAAATTATGACAATAAATTATATGACATTATTTTAATAATTATTAATAATAAAAAGGATCTCTCTCTATCTATAAATATGTAATAAATAATATTTCTAATAAAATATAACAATAAATTATATGACATAATTAACTTGGTAATTTTATAAAAAAAAGGATGAATTCTCTATCTTTCCATTTTCAATAAAAGTTTTTAATAAAATCGTTTAAAATGTAAAAAATACAAAAAAACTATCCTTTTGATTTATATATTCCATGTAAAAATTTACAAGATATTGAACGCTTGTACATTCGGTCTCTGTAAAAGTCGAATCGCTTTGCGGCTGAACTTGCTACAATCTATCGAATGCAATCGTGCAATTTTGCGTTGTGGCATTTTGTTTAAAATTATATACGCAAAATAAAAATTTAAAAATTGTTGCAAGCTTTTAATTAATTAAATTTCAAACAATACATTTTTTATTATATTTTATAAAGCAAAATAAAGCAAAATTTCATAAAACTTCGAATATATATCGATATGCGTAATAGGTATACACGGAATAAAGATGGAATTGATATAGAAAAAAGTTTTTATACGCTACGTTAACCACAAAAGCCTGGTTCGAGAGGAAAGGGTTCGGGTTTGTCTCTAGTGAATTGTTTTCTGAATTGTCTTGCAAATTTACACAAGAACTCGAAACTAAATACAATTCTCCCTTTATATTATGATCGAGCAACTTTCAAAGTTAAAAACTGATGTTATACCGCTTTTTAAGTAGAATCAACTGTAATAATTGCGGACAAAGAGTGATTACAAGCACTGTTGAACTTTATCAAATATTCCGATAACGAATAACAACTTTCTCCTGTTGAAACAATTTTTACTGTTAATTTTTAAATCAAGTTGCGTAACTTATGTCTGTTATTTTGCATATTAATTGCTTCATATAAACGTGTCATAAGTATTTCAATGAGATAATTATTTATTAAGTTTAACTTACCGTGAATTGTGTAATTCCTTTTGTTCTTTTAGCGTCACCATCAATGTCTTCTAGACAAGGTGCCTATACATATTAAATTAGATGTTAAATATTTTTTATCAAATTATGTATTTAATTTTTTAAATAATATAATTTTGTATTTCTTCCTCTTTGTCTTATAATAATTAAAAATCTTTATATTTTTATAATAAATAAGATATTCTATTTTAAGCCATTTTAATCCATACACTTAATATATTATAAATATCCTTATATTATTTATCAAAATTGTCACTATATATATTTATTTATAATACTTTACCGATGAACATCTCTTCATTATGATCTGATATCACTAGCCTACCTGTAATGCAGTGAATATATTTTTTATATTTCAAAAAAGGCGCATTCCTGAATAATCATAACAAATAAAATTTTGTTAAAAAAATTGTAAAAAACAGCATTATTTTAATATTATATAATATAATAAAAAGAGGAAATTTGGCTGTTCCTTTTTCTCACAATTTTGCATAATATTATATCCCGGCTATCTTTAATAATAACGTATAATAACAATATATTATATTGCATATTAATAATGCATTTAGCATGTTAATGCAATAAGCTACTATTTAATAATATCTATTATAATCTCTATTATCTCTATTACATCTATTATAAATCTATTGTAAAATATCCGTTCTATTCCAATACATAATTGTTATAATGTGTTGAAACTCAGTTGAGTTAATTATTGACGTTGTCTTCAATTTCGATACCTTTTACGTCAAATATTTCTGAGAAATGTTGTTACAAAATATTCTTTTAAAACATCTGCCACGCTTTTCAACTTGGCTTTGTCTTTAACTTCGATATCCTTTACGTTAAATATTTCTCAGAGTCTACAAATTTTATATTGCTATAAAATATTCTTTTACAGCGTCTGGCACTCTCTCATCTACGAAAGGAGGAGATAGGTAATACAATTTAATATATTTAATATATTTTAAAAATATAAAATAATATTAATATATTTAATACATTTTAGAAATATAATAATATTATTATATTTAATATATTTTTACGTGTTATTATATCAATATTTTAAAATATATTAAATATATTAATAATATATATATATATATATATATATCTATTTTAGAAATATAATAATATTAATATATTTAATATCTTTTAAAATATTGATAAATTAATATATTAATATATTTAATTAATTTTAATGCATATTAATATATTTAATATATTTTAAATATTGATATAATAACACGTAAAAATATATTAAATATATTAATATTATTATATTTAATATATTTCAAAATAATAATATAGTAACACGTTGCCAACAATAAATAAGACCGTGCGACGAAAATTGAGATAAAGTGTCAACGGATACGAGCTCAACAATATAGGAGTCATAAAGTTGGGCATCTGCTGGCGTCTGATGATCGTCTTACAGCGTGTCATCATCTAAAAGTAATGACACCGCGTTACTTACGTGCGTCTCGGCTTCCGTTGCAGAATACGTGCGTTTGTATTAAAGTTCGTCCCTTAACTTCAGGGGATCTCGGTTGTCCGTTCACACAGGGTATCACGCTTCGTTATCGGTCAAAGTTTCCGAGCCGGATTTTCCGTCGCTCACAGCAGGCGCGTTAATGGTTTCCTTTGTCGCGCGCAAACTTCTCCTCGGTGCGAAAATTCTCCTTTCTCGTCGACAAAAAAAAACAGGAAAAAGCGCTCTATTTCTTGAAAAATTTAGGAAACACTAGGTACCACGGGGCGAAGAACTGTCAGTGAAAGCGACCGTTGGCCGACTCTCTCGATGGTCTAGCAGCCCCCTCGCTTTCACAACCGTCGTGCAAAGAGGGTCCGAGAGACCGACAGATGCAAGCCCCCCTTTTTCTACCCTTTGCGCGTGCCCCGTCGAAAAGAATGGACGTGCGGCACGTGCGAGTCTCTCGCATCGATTTTAGTTTTATTCGACTTGGAAGGTAAGGTTTGATACTTGCGCGTGCGTACATTCTGACCATTGAAGTTTTTATTTGCCCAAAAACAAGGAGACAACATTATTTATAAATTATTATATGTATAGATATATCTATATATATATATATATAGCGAATTATTTTTATTACTAAAATTCAACCACATAAAGCACATGCGTGTGAAAAATGTACAAAATATCTTAAAATTAGGCTTTTCTGTTCTGAAGGTGTCTCGAAACTATCGGTTTTTTATTTATAGAATCGATTTTTACTTAAATAAAAAATATAATCAAAAGTTTTGAGACACCCCGTATGTAGTAATGTAGAGTATGCTGATGATGTAAGATTTTATTTGGATATTGTTATTTTTAAAATACTCTCTTCTCTCTTTCTAAATGTATTAATGTGGGTTGCACATCATACAAATCTAATTTAAAAATATAAGTAATCCTACGAAACTTGCTAAATTGAATTGTTAATGAATCAATTGTAGCATTAAATCGCATACAATTGTAACATATAATCTCATATAATCACATATAATCTCGTCAATATACTACAAATTTTCGGGCGATAAATGGAGATTCATTTTTATTTCAGTGAGAATATATATTTAGAAAGACAAATATAATATATCTATATTATTGGGTAGAATTAAAAATATAAAATAATATTGCAACTATTTATTACTTAAGATTAAGATAATATCAAAATTTGAAATGAGTCTTACATTTGTTTTATATTTCCATGCTTTTTGTTTGATACAACTTTTATAGAGAATGAGATTTAACATTTAATTCGGTGAGCCAGCCATTTTAGTTGTAAAAAGAATAATAAAGAGAATGGAGATTATGTCTTGTACTTTTTCGCTTTTGTTCTAATGGCTAATTACTTATTTAACGCATTAATAAAGTCAGCTTTTTCGTTGCTTTTTAGTTTAGTAAATATATAATAGAATTATATAATTATCATTTTTTCAGATAATACACTTTTAATTCTTTTAAGTACAAGAATTGTATGAAAGGATAAAAACTGCTAATTAACAATGACTTATGATTGAGCAGAAAATACATATTGCACAGGTACGGATGTTTTAAAAGTACTAGTTTACATATTTTATGTTTTAATGGTAGGAAAAATAAATCTTTTATATATTTACTTTCCACACAATTATTAAAGAAAGGAGATTCTTTCTAAAAAGTAATTTTTATCTCTTTATTAAAATTAAATAATAAATAATATTTATTTTGCGATAATAGAAAATGCAAATTTAAATAAATTATACAGTCTAAATTATGATTCTTTTAATCAATGACATTTGTACATTGCATCATTAATCTAAAAAAAAAAAAAGATTTATTAATGTAGATCTTAAAGTCTACTTTGATAAAATTTGCAATCTGAATTTGCAAATATGTCATACATAAAAGAAAGTTATCTGAAAAAATACATAGTTTAAGAGGATGCTGCCGTTGTTCTGTTTTACCGACTTTAAGTTAGATTAGGTTCACTTTTTATTAAATATATAGATTGAAAAATCTTTTGATACGCAGGCTTTTAATCTCATTTTTATTACTTCTGTATTATTCTTTCATGTCATCTCTATTGGGAGCTCCATATTTTGTGCACAAATAAATTGCAGAACTTTTGTATTAAATAAGTATTATTATGAGCTGATGCAAGAGGCTGATAAAAAAACTAATTTTTTAATTTTTATGGTTTTTTTATATAAAATTCCAGCGCTTTCCGTTCATTATTATCAGTACTTTAATTGTGGAGAAAATTTTTTCATCTGTCACAGCCAATAAAAAGAAAAATCCTTGAACTCAAAATCGATAAAACAGTCATGGTCAGCATCCCCTTAAAGTAGAAAAAATTGCGACGCACTTACACTATTTATGAATAATATAATTCTAAATTAATCATTTTTTATGAAAAAAATTACAAGCAGACAAAGATGACTTCCAAAAATACAATTACTCAAATAAAATTTTCGAGACCTATCAATGTATCGCTTTTCTTACCATATAAAGCCTGTAGCACCGTAATAAATAGATAACCATTTTTTAGAAGCCGTTGTTTGTCCGTTTTACAATTAATCCATCATTGCCAACAATGATTGCATTCACACTGCGCTTTGCATGTGTGTGCAGGGACATCTGTATTCCGTTAAAATATTGGAAAATTACTTACGAAAGCAATTTTCGATCGCTGGGGTTTGTAGCTCTAGTCGTTTCTATGCTGCCCATCTCGAATACTCCTGTCGAATTAAATTCTTGCGTGCGTCTTCGGAAGGTGGAACCGAAACTAGTCTCGTAAAACGTGCCTCGCATATCGCCCCGACTTCTCTGGGAAAAGCCACCATTACTCCGAATTCGACTCCTTTCATTTCGATTTCCACGGCAGATGGCAGAGCCATCCGGTAGACAAAAGCACAGATATTTGTTAAATCTATATATAACAGCACAAGAATATTATATTAGAAATACTTCGCGTCATTGTTTTTAAGGATCGATTTTTTAATAACGATTTAAATTACACACAATTTAACGAAATGTCAAAATTAAATTTAATTAAAACAAAAAGAAACTTAATTAAAATTCAGAAATAATGTTTACTGGAAGAACATAAATTAAAATCCGAGAAATTATATTAAAACGGAAAATATTAGACCATAAACTCGAATATAAGAAAAAAAGTTGAATTACAAAAATTAATATATTTAATTAATTTTTATTTTTATTGTAAAATATATGTTTTTTCACCAAAAAATAATTTGTTTAGTAAAATATGATTTGCGTTTCTTATCAATAAAAAGATATAATTAATTCTTATTTTAAAAATTTCTCTTAAAAAATCATGATTTCGTATGAATACAAACATATAAATAATATAAAGATTTTTTTCTCTATTTTAATTATACATTTTTAAATAAATTAACAATTAATCAAAATCTTGCAATAAACTCTTTTATCCAAAATTATCAATTCGAATTTTTTATCCAAAACAATGAGATTTTTTGAAAAAAATCATATAAAGACAAAAAAATTATTACATAATTTTCAATATTAATACAAATAAATGTGACTAATGAGATTTTTATTTTGGAATAAATTTATTTTATAAATTTTGCTTTATACGGAATTGTTTTTCTTTAGCATTTTTACTTGTTACAAAAAGTTTGATAATTATATGGTTTAATAACTATAAAATAAGTTCAAACTTAGCGGTATTCGCGCGGTTTTAACTTTGATGGCTTCTTTTATGACTCGATGTTCACGATGTTATAACATGCGCACTTACCTTTGACGAAATGTGCGGCTAATGAAGTACAGGGCTATAGGATTAACGCAGCTGTTGCTGAAACTAAGGCAGAAACCGATTATCCTGAACGCGTGCCAGTAATCATCATAGTCCCTCTGCGACGTTGGGCAGAAGTGATACCACAGCATGAACACGTGATATGGTAAAAAACAAATCACGAAAACGATTACGAAACACATCACCATTCTGCCCACCTGTTATTGCAGCAAAAAGAAGAAGAGATCATCAATATAACGATGGTCCAATATGAGAAATAGAATTTTTAATTTTTTGTTTAACCCCTCTGTCAATGCATAATTTTTTCCATCAATGTTTGGGTATCCGGGTACCAACTGCGTGTTTTCGACACATTTCATTATGACAATTTTTTTACATCAGCATTAAGCATTATTCCTTTTTTTTTAAGAAAGTACAGGGTATCCCATAAAAAATTGCTGAAACTAATCAGCTGTCATATTTTTTAATGCATGCAGTTATTGAGAAAACAAAACTGTGTTGGAAAGAGTAAAGTCTGCAGTTTTTAATGGATATAAATAAAATGTTTGTATACCAGTTTATTTTATTGATAAAAAGTAATGAAAAAATGCTAATAATCACAAAATCACATAATCTAATGATACATATTTTCAATAGTGCCAGATTTAATAGCAGCTATTAAAAGGATCGTCAATAACATTAAAAATAATATGTTACAATGTTTTTACAAGTTTTCGTAAACGAATAGAATTTTGTACAAATTTAAATGGCACGCACTTCGAAATTATTTATCATTAATTTACATATATGTGATTATTAGTATTTTTTTCATTACTTTTTTCAATAAAATAAACCAATATACAAACATTTTAAACGCGCATCGCGCGCGCCTTTGATTATAAATATGACCATAATTTTAATTCGCCGAATTTCTATTGTATTGTGTGAGAACTATTTTGTATCTTTGTATATATATTTTTCTCATTTCGTTTATTTTAATCGAATATAATTACGTGCGCGAAGCAAAGTTATTTTATTCTTTGATAAAACCTTAAAAATTGCAACGCACGTATAAAATTATTATTGCCATGCATGCATAGAAATATATTTATTAATTACGTGATTCATAAAAAAATTCTATAAATTTTTAATACAAAACAAAAAATATATTCTACAAGAATCTTTCGATCAAAATATCTGTGCTTCCATTAGATATTTGGCGTCTGTACGCGTCCGCTACACTGCACGGGTTGTGCAGATTGTTTTTTCTTTATCTTTTGCATCCAGATTAGTATACCCCACACGTCCATCACAGTGCGCAGCTCGCGCGAAACTGATTCTCGAGCGGAGTATCGCGAGCGCGGGACCGATGGTCACATGACCAGTGGCCACGTGACCAGTAGACCCATTGATCACGTGACCTCGGTTTCGCGCTCGCGATACCTCGCATGAGAATCAGTGTCGCGCGAACCGCGCAGCTTGATGGATATATGGGGTATAGAGTTTCGCGCGAGTCTAATGAAAGTGTAGATATTTGATTATAAAAGATCCTTATAGAAAATTTTATTTCTGTGTTTGTATTTTCTGTTAAAGATTTAAATATCGAATTCTTATGCGTTGTGTAATTAATTGATATATTTTTTATGCATTGATTGTAATAATAATTTTTTATACCTAATATACATAATATACACAATATTATATTAAACAGTTATATTTTAATTTTATATTGTATTATATATATTATATATTTTAATTTTCATTCCCCCGAATGTTTATTATATAATTTTAATTTGCCGAATTTTAATTATGTATAATTTTAATTTCTGAATTTTTGTTATGTACCAGACGACATAAGCGTCTTTGTGAACGTTATTGATATTATTTTTATTTTTTATTTTACAACTGTCAAACTGTTAATCTTTACGATGACAATTGCTTGACGCTTTTAATATAACACATAATGTTAATCAAGACAACGAATCAGCATCGCGAGAAAGCAGCAACAGTATTTATGATAATCGACTTTGCATACCTTTTTTTAGAAAGGGATCCATTAAAAACTACTGTAGACTTTCCTCTTTTTAACACAATTTTTGTTTTATCGATACCTGCATGCATTTAAAAATGACAGCTGATTGGTTTCAGCAATTTCCTATGGGACACCCTGTACTCCCCATACAGCACAAAATATTATGAATGTTTTCAAAAAATGTTTCTAAATATTTTTATAAAATATTGCATTAAAAAACATTTTAAAATAGTTTTAGGAACATTTTTAAATAATTTTAAAATTTTTTGTGATAACATTTTTTTACAATATTTTGAAAAATTTTAAAAATATTTTTAAAAATGTTCTTCTTTATCGCTCAGAAAATATTTTCTTAAATCTCTTCATAACTAATTGTTGATTGCCAGTGACAAATTTTAACAAATAATAAGATGCAATTTAACTCGACCAAAAATTGGCTATTCATTTATTGAAAATAAGTACACACTACATTTCGACCCAAATTGTGGTCCTTTTCAAGTGCTAGAATACAAAAATACATAATTTTGCAAGCGAAATTAACATTACATTAACACTAAATTTGATCTATAATACATACTTGTTCTTATTCAGCAATTACATTAATTCAAGATAGAAACATGAAAGTTGTCCTGTCATATCAACAGTCTGTTAGCTACTATTTTCTTAAATATTTGATACATATTTTTGAAATATAAGTTTAAATCTATATTCAAAAATACTTTTTAAACATGAAAAAGCGGACATAGAAACATTTTAAAAATATTTTCAAGAATTATTTTGTCTTTTAAGAAATATTTTTAAAAGATTTTAAAAAAATATTTTGTGCTGTATGGGCCGGGCATCCGTTCCTTGACAGAAGGGTTAATTCGTGCGAAGCATGCTCTTCACGTTTTGTGATTGTGTGTTGTAAGAAATTAATATATTTTCATGTACCCTCCTGCGTGCCCTTATCTGTTCAAAGCGATGATCGGGGAGTTCACCTGGCATATTTATGGTGGACAGTGCTAGATGCCGTGCCATCCCCAGATAGAAACCGGCTATCACGCATAGCGGTATCGCGTAATACGCCAAAAATTTGAACATTACCATGCCTTTCGTATAGGTTTTACCTGCGCGATACAAATGGCATGTAATATAACGGTGGTTACATCTTATTTTACCTCTTAATCCTTTTGCCAATGCATTATTTTTCATCTTTTTATCAATATATAGGTACCCAGGTACCTGTTTATTGACAGAAGGATCAAGATATATTATACATAAATTGAAACTTTAATGAGCTATATTTAATACCAGAGATGATATAAAAAGCTCGGAAATTATTGGCTAGTAAATGCCATTAAATAAATCGTATCGAAAAAATTTCTCACAATATTTAAAATATATAAATCTTTTAAATAAATAAAAAAATAGAAGAATAAAACTATTCTATAAATTATCTACAATAATATAAATTTAATAATAATGAAATTTAATAAAATATATAATAATATAAATTTTATTGTTGACAATTTTTACTTGGAAATTTATATTATTTTATATTTTATTAAGTTTCATTATTATTAAATTTATATTATTGTAGATAATTTATAGAACAATTATATTTTTTAATATTGCAATTTTTAATTGCAGTTAGTGACATTTGTGATACAAGATGGGAGGATTCTTACCAAATTCGTCGGGAAAAGGACTGCAGATTAAAATGCTGTGGTTTCCGTGCAATTGTATAGTCGGAACGTGGGAGAAGAGCGCGGCAGGTATAGCTAAGACAATCGCTAGGACCCAGATAAGGGATGCCGTTAAAATAGTTAGCGGTTTTGCACTTAAACCCGCTACGTGTCGACGGATGGGATTCACGATGGCGCAATATCTGCGGAGAGAGAATTGAGAAAATGCGAGGATACATTATATATATCCTATAAACTCGTTAATTTAGGAGGTAAATTACTCGGAAGATACAAACAATTGATTAATTTGACATAAGATGTCACATTAAAAATATACAAGTAGATCTTGTTATTTGGAGACAATTTTTCTTCAGCAAAAATATTAAAATGTCAATAATTTTCGAGTTATAAGCAATTGAAAATAAAGGGTTTGTCGTAAACTAAGCCTTGTGAAAATATAATATTAACAAAACCACATTCTCCTATTAATTTCAAGTACAGTTTATTTTAATAAAATTTTAATTTAAGATTTAATTATAGAGATATATAATGGCAAACATTTTTGCTGAGGAAAAATCGTCTCCAAATAACGAGATCTACTTGTATATTTTTAGTGTGACATTTTATGTATATATATATATCGGATCTCTCTGACGTTATCGTTTTTGCCTAAATTAACCCTTCTGTCAATACATAATTTTTTTACCTTTTTATCAATATATGAGTATCCGGGTATCAACTGCGTGTTTTTGACACATTGCGATATAATTGTTTTCTACCTGCTGGGCATCAAATATTCTTTCTTGTTCTATTTTAGGAAATTTCCGAATACAAAAGCCCTTTGTATTTTATTTTGGATAAAGAAAAATTCCAACACATTTAAAATTGCTTTGGATATCCGGACACCTGTTCATTGACAGAAGGATTAATGTTAAGATTGAAATAAAATTCTAAAATTAAAAAAATTAAACTTATTTCTTAATTAACATTATTTCTATGGAATAATGTTTAAAATAAAAACTTAACGACTGCTTTGAATTTTATATGTGGCTCAACCTGATGATGTTACGCACCCACTATTGTTACATTTCTTTTTAGTCATTGATATGTGGTGCGCGTTAATTAGTTTTAAAAGAGCTTTCATGCGCTCAAATGTATATCATAATAAAAATTTCATTTAGAATTTCAATTAAGTGAGTGAAATCAAGCTGCGGATTCATATATTCGCGGTGGCATTCCACCAACTGTATCTAACATCTTGATTTAACCTCTCGTAGCGCAATAAGATGTTTACCTTTCGGCTGACAAAGCCGCCAGAGTAAACACCGACACACCGATTGAAATATCCTTAGCGCATTCGGATAGTTTGCAGATAGTTAAGCCCCACGGCCACGATTCGATCGTGTAAAGAATAGACGTAAACGGTACGCAAGTCACAATTACCTGTAACAAAGAATTTTGTTGTGGTCGGATTCATCATATGTTGCTAAATTTATATATATTAAAATTAAAAAAAAAAAAATATATATATATATATATATATATATATATATAGTAATCCATACAGCACAAAATATTTTTAAAACCTTTTACAAATATTTCTTAAAAGATAAAATAATTCTTTAAAATATTTTTAAAATGTTACTATGTTTATGTCCACTTTTCATGTTTAAAAAATATTTTTAAAAGTTTTTTAAAATATTCTAAAAAATGTTATCACAAAAAATTTTTAAATTATTTAAAAATATTCTTAAGACTATTTTAAAATGTTTTTATGCAATATTTTATAGGAATATTTAGAAATATTTTTTGAAAACGTTCATAATATTTTGTGCTGTATGGGAAATTATCCGAGAACATAAAAACAAAAGGAAAATCAGCAAGAAACATAGCATAATTTTTTTTTACACCTTGATTTCTTAAATCAATTTTCGTATAATTAAAAATTTAAATATTTTGATACCAAATAAAGCATTGTAATATATTTTTTTTTAATATTGTGCAACATTCAAATATATATTTTTTTAATAAAAGAAGGAATACACCAAGAAATATAACAAATATAATTTTTCTTTGTACCTTGATTTTTTAATTAATTAATCAAAAATAAATTAAATTCGTACAATTAAAAATTATTTGAATTATAATAATTTATAAATTTTAATAAAAAAAAAGAATTGTAATATATTTTTTTCTGATTCTAGAGCATTCTAGAGCAGAGATTTATTTCTGCGGAAAGAAGCATATGTTTTTGACAGCTTTGAAGAAAAAGTTATTGAATTGATCTTGTATTTATTGTAATAAAAAATTATTTGCTTCAAGAGATTTATTCTGTATCGCTAAGCAAAGAAAAATGTATTTTTGTTCAATTAATTTTTCATAACTGCGACAGCAAGATGCTCACCAAAAGATCGCCCAGGGCCAAAGATAGTACGTAAGTGTTTGGTATATTTCTCATATTGGCGTGGCATAATAAAATAAGAACCAAGATACCGTTTCCTGCTACACCTACGACCAAAATTAACGAAAACACTACAGGTACGATGTAAGTCTCAGGTCGTTGATCATATGGTACATATTCTAAGTCGTATTCCTTTCCTTCGGAGCTGTTGCTTATATTGAAAACATCGTTTGCTATCATCATCTGTAAGAGAAAATATTCTTATCGTCAGCATTAATTCATATTTTATAATAAATATCAATTATATTACATATTTATATTTTATTTTATATTAAATATTAATGTTCAATATGAAATGGAAGAAATCAAAATAAAATCGATTGTAAAATAACAAAAGAAGAAAATTTTATTATTTTAGTTCATAAACAAAACAAAAAAAACAAAACAAAAAAATAACGCAAAAATGATATTAAATTACTCCATATTGATTAACACAAAAAATAATTGTTAGGTGAATTCACACGTAAAAGATATCGATAAATGAAAAAATTATTTCGCGTTGCTGCTTTATACAAATAATCATAAAATTATTTGTACGAGTTTATTTACAAGTTAAAATACGATACTTTTTTACTAATAGCCATATTATAAAAATATGTAGCTCTATCTGTTATTTTATACAATAAATGCAACGTGAAATATGGATTCTGCGATTTAAAATAATAAAATACGGATTATAAAAATGATAACAATAAATCTGATAAATATTTCACAATTTCTTAAAAAACACATGCAATTTCTCTATTGCTCTCTTTATTACATAAAATGATTTATACCTCTTCTCGTAATATTTCTATTGCAGATGTAATCATATATGCAGTTATTGGAGATAGAATATCAGAGATAATTAAAAATGATATTATAGAGCCGCATCAGATTATATCACCATCCCGATAGTGTAATTCTGTAAATAATTCATATATAATTTTTATTTTATTTGATATCTGGAAAGAATATTTTAACAAATATTTTCAATATAATTTATTTTGGGTAATACTAAAGAAGAGTTCCGTCCTCTCCGATTTTGCCAAAACTATATTTAATTTATTTTGTATTTTTGTGCGCAAGACATGTAAATTAAAATTGTCTTCAAATATGAAAAAAATTACAGTCGGGCTGGTTTTTAATTTAGATTTATGTTTTACGCACAAAAATACTGTAACTCTGCTTGACAAGATATCCAGTCAATACTTATTCTTCTATTGCTTTATCAAATAAGTAATGAAATAAATAATTAACAATAGTCGAGAGACTATTCTCGTCGACCTTGTCAAATCTCGCGGTTTGTTCCTCCGCAGGCACGTGACCGCGTGACGTCACGCTCCGACTCGAGTGCTTTCGACGCGAAAATTTTCCGAGTTTTTCGGCGTTGTCAATTATATTTTAAGTGGGCATTCACGCGTTTCTGGCCGTACTTTCGCATCATCGTATTGAAGTATATTGTTACACGACAAACTGGGCTCGTAATTTTCGTAAAAATCGCTGGTCAATTGCGATAGCGGTTAGGTTGCGCCGCCATATTTGTCAATGGTATTTCAATATCGTGCACGTTTGCTCTCCAAAACTTTCTTGTAAACCGGAGTCCAGTCGGAAATTCGTTTACCAAATTTACCGAAACGCGTTGAAAATGTGTTAGCTGAAATTCGAGGGTCGCTACGAACAAAAAAAAGTAACGCGAGTATAAGTGTTTTGAAGTTTCTTCTACGAGGAGGCCTGAGGTGACACAACTACATGGTGAATAATTTATTTATTTTTTATTATATTTTGTTATTTATTTATTATTCTATCTTTAAGTTTAATTAAATATATTTATATTTGCATGGTACATTTTTTGTACATTATTTTGTAATATAGAGTTATAAATATATATATATATATATATATATATATATATATGTGTGTGTGTGTGTGTGTGTGTGTGTGTATGTGTATATTTGCTTGTTTTTAATTTTACAGAATAGTAAATAATTTATTTATTATTCTTTACTTAAACTTAATTAATATAATGTAATGCTTTTTTAATTAAATATATCTATTTAAATAATATATATTATTTTTCGAGATATTAATTATTTTTAAATTCCAAATACGTAACTTCCATGTATTTATATTTTATAGTTAACAACTCCGCTGCTATGCATTATTGGTGAGTCTCATCAATTTTTACTTAAATATTTAGTAATAATTAATCTTGTTAATTCTCAATTTAAAAATCTTAATCTCAATTTTGTTAAAACTTTGCAATTGTATATTCTTGTGTATAAAACATAAATTAAAATTCCCTCACTGTAACTTTTTTCCTATTTGAGAGTGACCATTTTAATTTAGGATTTGTGTTTTATACATAAAAATACACAATATTGTAAAGTTTCGACAAAATCAGAGAAAATAAAGTTCTCCTTCAGTAATATCTTATTTTATTATAAATACAATTAATTCTTAAAGCACAAACAAATTAAAAAAGACGATCATATATTTAGTAATTTGTTTAAAAATATAAATATCATAGGTATAAATAAAAAGATAATCTATTTATGTATAAGCTTGTTATAGAGAGTTTTCGGACATTTTGTCCAGTTATTTTATAAAGGAAAATTAATTTATAGGGATCTAAGATGCTTTCCTTTAAGTTTATCTTGTACTATGCACGTGTTCGTGTTCAAGTGCATAGCATTACACATAATAGTGCAAATTCAACCAGCTAGATGCACACATAATGCTTTACTAAAGGGCTTTGATTTTGCTTATTCAAGCTGCTTACTGATATTGTGGAGAGAGAAAGAGAGAGGGAAAATTTGTTATTAATCTTGAAAATAGCTGATATAGATTTTAGCAGAGTAGATAAGCTGAATTTAATATTATAATTGTATGAATAATTTGGACTTTTTTTATTATACGATTAAAATACTGAATTTTTAAATATATAAAAATTCAATTTTTACTAAACTTTTCATGAAACTTTATTTTGTGGTCCCTTTTATCTCACTTACAGGGTAAAATGGATCATTCTGATGAAGTAATTATAAAGTGGATCAAGCTAAAATTTTATTTTTCTTTTCGTGTAAATAATGTTTTGCAAAATTTTTTCTGGTTAATTTGAAAGTAATTTTTCCCATATTGTAAATAATTAAAAAAATTTTTTTATATCTACATAAAGTATAATTAATTAAAATCTTTTCTAAAAAGTTTACAAAATAAGAAGGAAAATTGTTTTAATGAAGATATAAATGGGTACAGAATATTATTTTTAAATTTGCTAATAAAATATAATATTACAAATGATTATTAATTATTTTCCAAGAACAAAGAACAAATTTAAAAAAACACCTTTATAACTCCACATAAATCTAAAAATTCATTTCTTATCCTTAAAAAATAATCTTTGGGAATATTTCATTAGCATAAGTTAAAAAAATAAATTAAATTATTAATTAAAAATATTTCTTAAATTAAAACAAATATATGTTTAATGAAATACAAAACATATGCATATTTTAATTGGTTTATTCTATTATTGTACATTTATTGATCTTTCTTACTTGACCTAATACAACTTTAAAATTATTTTATTTTAATTTATATTAAAATGCTTATTTAAATGCAACTTACCATGATATCTCAAAGAATCTAAATTCTCCATTATTTGAAGAAAAATTTTTGTAGACTCAGTTACTTAAAAAATTAAATTACAAAATCTTATTTGTATACAATTTAGCATTTATTTTTAGATAACTCAAGATAGGTTTATAATTACGTTATATACTATCACAACATTTTTAGAATATTGAAAGTGTCAAAGAGAAAATTAGTTTCATCTAAAAAAATCGCATTTATGAGATCTAGCAATGGCAAAATTTATTTTATTCCATTTTACTTTCTATATAAAAAAATATTCCTCTCTTCTCTATTTAAAGTTTCAGTCCTTGTTATGTGAAAAATGATGAAAATGATGAGGATATCCGTTGCAAAGATCATAATTACAATTATAATTGATGTATTGTTCTTCAATTATATTTCATAGAAAAAATAAAGAGCAATCGTAGAAAAATCCAATCTCACCGTATATATAAATAATCAATCGCGCGGAGGAAATGCATCCTCAGCTAAGGAGATTATTTGCAACTCCTTTTCCGATAAATATTGCCTTTTAAAATAAAGTTGATACGAGTTAAAATTCAATTTGCTTCTGCTGCGCGCGTCTTCGACATGCTTCCCATCGCCATTATAAGTTTACTATCAACGTAACGAGATCCTTAAGAGAGACGATCATTTGGCCGGCTTAACTTAAGCGTACGACATATAACGCGGCACGTTTGAAATTATTTCATCCTCGAATTTCAAAGTTCTGAAGTTTCAAAGTGCATAATTTGCGAATTAATTTAAACGGAAAATCTCAATCGAAGTATATATCGAATAGTTTGGGCGTTATATTTATTATAACATATTCTATTTGGTCGGTTTATACATCCTTTATGAATTTTATTATAATATACACGCACGCATGTGTGTATCTCTTTCTCTCTTTGTCTATATGTATGTATATATGTATACACACACATGCGTGCATACATATTATAATAAAATTTATAAAGGAAATATAGACCGACCGATAAATGACTATAAATAACTGTAAATTAATGACTATAAATGACTATAAATGACAATAAATAACAATAAATGACTATAAATGACTATAAATGACTATATATAACTATATAATGACTATAAAATGACTATAAAATCTACTACTTTTTCCAGCCTTATGACAATAAGACATTTATGACTCTTTTTTTAGAATGAGTACTTTCTAAGTTTTTATTACAGAGACGCATGTTTCATAGAATTTTTTTGTTTATTTGATATTTTAGAATGTATATATTAATATAGATTTACGTCAGTTATCTGCTGTCATTTAAACAGACAACATCTTTCAACGCATATTTTGCAAAAATAATTTTGTTTTTTTTCTTCCTCGTAATATTAAAATAGTAAAAAAAAGGAATTATTTGAAGAGAAGAGAGGCATATAATTATCGAACTTTATAAGGCCGGAAAGAGTAATAGACAAATTTTATTAGTCACATTTATAGTCATTAATTTATAGTCATTTATAGTCATATATAGTCACGCACATTTATAGTCATTTATTTATAATCATTTAAACACAATTTACTTAGATGGGCAAATACTTTTGAGCAGTAGTGTACATATATATATATATATATATATATGAACAGATATTCGTGTCACTGATGAAGGTGAAATTGATAAAAATAAATATAAAAATCTAATTTAATATTTAATTTATTCTGATACGCATAAATATTCCTTCGGTCGTATATATAAATAAAACGTGCCCTTGCACATATTTTAATAGCAGCTTTAGTATGCATTAAAAATCATCTTTAAATCAAAATATATGCAAAAATGTGATTTATCTTTTAAAACAAATTAAAGCATATTAATTGGGAATATTAATAATGATCCGATAGATATTTATTTGCGATTGAGCGAAACGTGCCAGAATGCATGTAACTTCGATTTTTATATGTGCAAGTAATTTCCTATTGAATTAAATTTAGTAATTTAAAGAGAGAAAAACGTGTTGGAAATTGTAATAATAACATTTTCTTTGCTAATTTGTACCAAGCGTTAATTTGTTCTAGTTTAGTTTTGTTATTTGCGTTTATCGTGTGATACTATCTTCTTTCAATATAAAATTTAAATTGAATAAAATTGAATTTAAACGCGATGAAAAATGGAATAAATATAAAACAAATTTTTCAGTTAATTTAGTATAAAGTTTTGTTTTTGAGAACATTTAATAACTGCAACAAATATGATTACAGACTAATAATATGTATTAAAAAGACGTTTTTATATTAAAATTATTCAGAAAATATCAGAAATATAAACTATTGTGCTGTAATATTTAATTGTTAATAATATATATATATATATATATATATCTTTTTTCAATTCTATAAAAATATGTTTTTTTTACAACAAATCAGTTTTCCTGACATTTTCATCGTGAAAAACTACATTTTTCAATGCGTTTCGATCATGCCACGCATCGTTGGCAACTTTAAAGCTGACCGATTATTATATGTCATGGAATTTTTCGGTTCTTTTTTTAGAGAAATATAATAATAAATAGAGCTACTTCCTTCCTTCTCTTTCTAAGTATATTATTAAAATTAATATAAATTTATTGAAATATAACTGTTTTGATACATTTATGTAGTGGAAAATCTGTGTCGTTGCCAAACAAAATAATAAATAATTATTCATCCACATATTAATTTTCGTTAATCACTACCTGATATTTGTGCTCATTAAATCTGGCATAATAATGTAATAGCGAACACACAGTCAAAATTGCATCAATGTCCTCTTTGATAAATACATACATATATACTCATAATTAAAACATAGCGTGTGTATTCTTTATATATAAATAGCCTCTTTTCCTATACGAACTACAAAAATAGTTTTATTTTATTTATAATAAATAAAATTTACGATAGAGATCATAATTAATTATTTATCACAATTATTTATTATATTATTTAAATTATTTTTAACATTATTTATAATATTATTTATCACATCGAAAGAAAAGTTTTCCTTTTTGCCAAGATTAACCCCATTTTCTCGAAGTACATAATTTTACATTTCCTTACATCGAAGAGATAATAAATGTTTACCTCGCGTGTATATATTGACGAGACGTTCTATTTCGAAAGTTTGGAAAATATATCAAATTTACACGCGAGGACGACGACGACGGGAGATCGAAGGTGAATCAATAAAATACTATTTGTTATTCGAAGATCAGCGAAGCGAGAAAAGAGTGATTTTCAGATAGAGAAAGAAGGCAAGCACATCGGTAAACTGTAGCCAATAAGTCGGAGCTTTTCTAATCAAAACTCAAATTTCTCGTCGTCCTTTATTCGTCTTCTTCGCTGAACTCTTCACCTCGGCGAACGTAAACGATTTTATTACGCTTTCGCCAAAAGATCTTGATCAATTTGTGTGCATATATATATATATATATATGTATATATATGTATACGGTTATTTATAAACTCTACGAGAAGCAGGGCTTACACTAAAACGATCGCGCAATGTTGTTGCACACCGTCTATTTATTCAGCTCCCCGAGGATCGATCTTCCTCTGAGTCAAGTGGACTTCAGTCCCGAGAGAGAGAACTATACCAGGCTCTCTCCTTTCCCTTCTCCTCCCTTAATCCTTTGCTTCCCTCCGTATTTACTATGCCATACACATACAGATATGTTGCTCGCTACTTGCTGTTTGTTGAATGTTAGAACCAGATCTGGAATCATAAACGTCCGCGAGAGGATGTAAGAGGCAATTTGTTCCCTTCTCTGGATTTAATAGAAAATTAAGTATTTTGAACAAATTTATTTGCATATTTAATATATAAAAAAATAACCAAGTAAATTTTTAATTTAAAAAAATTAAGAGGAACAAAAATAAAATGAAACATTTTAATTATGTCTCTCCCTGTCTGAAAAAAATCCTGCGAACGGAGATCAACGAGAAAGAGACTTGCACATTTAAGGGAATGCTGACCATGACTGTTTTACCGACTTTGAATTCAAGGGCTTTTATTTTTATTGGCTATACAGATTGAAAAATTTTTCTCCACAATTAAAGTACTGATAATAATGAACGAGGAGCGCGAATTTCATATAAAAAACAATAAAAGTTGAACAATTACAGTTTTTTATCGGCCTCTTGCATCAGCTTATAAGAATACTTATTTAACACAATAGTTATGCAGTTTATTTGCACACAAAATATTGCGTACCTAATAGAGATGACATGAAAGAATAATGCAGAGTAATAAAAATGAGATTAAAAGTCTGTATCAAAAGATTTGTACTTGAATTAATTATGTATGTATATTTGCGCGTGGAATCGATGTTGAGGCATAAAACAGCAAAAATTAGTAGCTGAACAGCGCTCCCTATTCATTATTATCAGTACTTTTATTGTGGAAAATTTTTCAATCTGTATATTTAATAAAAAGTGAACCTAACCTAACTTAAAGTCGGTAAAACAGAACAATAAGCATCCTCTTAATATATACAAAAATAACAATACATTTATAATTAAGAAAAAGTTAGAGAAACAAAAAATAAAATTTAATTATGTCTTCTCCTCTTTAAAAAAATTCTGCGGATGTTTATTCTGGAGTTTAACGATAAAGAGACATTTATTCGCAGAAATATGCTCTTAGCGTGCAAACTGAAACGGAGAAACATCTGTCGATACTAAAACTTATGATCAATTTCATGAAAGCATCCCTTCTTCCTTCTTCTCGGTAAAACTCCGTGTTTAGTGTAAGATTATAAATAGAAACGCACATTTATGTGTATATTGCTAAAGTTTCACAAGCGACGTTTGATAACCGCATATAACATTTTCTTGTGCGTAGAATTTCAAGAGTTTGAGATGTACAAAGGATTCTGTTTAAGAACTTTTTTAAAAGGAACGTCTTTCTTCCTTATTATTATTATATTATTATTATATTAAAAATTTAATACTGGAATCACGCGGAGATAAAGTTTCGCTCTCTAAAATTTTTTCTTTTCTAGTACATCAGAAAAAAAATGTATTGCATAAGAAAATCCTATAAAACTTTATTTTTTCGAGTAATTTTTTAAATAATAATTTACTCGCTCAAAATTATCTACTTTTTTAAAGAGATTGTGACATTTGTATTGCAGATTACAAAAAGTTATTTACTACAGAGATCGATCGAATATGCAATTCTGTAATTTCAAAAAAAAATATTCTTCTTTTTTCATGTAAATTATTTTATCCAAATGCAAATGAATATTTTAATTGCAAAATGGCGTCAACTAATTCTCTCGATAATTAATGATTATGATACGCTTATATTAGATGGTAAATTTCATTATTGGATGCAATAAAGCGGGTAAAACATTAATTATTTAATTAAGCGATTTATAATTAGAAATCGGTCGCGATTGCGACATCGAGCGAATTAATCCGCGAAAAAAAAGAAAAATTACATCGAAATGTAGTGTAAAACGTAAGGATTAACATTTACGAAAGTGCAATTTACATCCGTTGCGCGTATGCAATGTGCATATACTTATGCACCTCCACGTGCGCTGGTGCATACTTTGATTGATCAATATTGTTGTCCGCCAGTAGCAATTAACCTCGTAATCGAACGTGAGATCAATTTTTATTAGTTCGTATCGTATTACTGTTACGGGCCAGGGTCCGTTGCAAATCTCATTTCGATTCATTCGTCAAGAGTCTGACGCGATAAATACACCCTCCCTATTAACTCTCCTTCCGGGATCATAATTATTTGTGTTTATTAATTTTAGCAGCAACTGCATTCGCGCGCGCGGTTGTGGTTTGTGCACTTGTGCAGTAACGCGTAGTCTGTCAATTATCGGATTTTCGACTAAAACTATACGATCCGAACACGCGCGTGAACATCGAAATTAATTTTAGCAAATTTATTTTCTAGCATTAGAAAAAATTATGCACCTCCCTTTTTTTCTTTCTCGCGAAATGCGCTGGTTTGAAAATATATATCTGGGATTGACAGAGTGCAGCCTCTGTTAGTTTAATCTCCGGTTAATTAATGCTTTTATCGTGCGAAAATATTTACGTCTCACTTTTGATTGACAATCAAAAACTCGTAAACATCAATTAATTAAAATAATGGATCACGCTGTTTGCTTCTTTCTTTTAAGTTTGCCAGACGCAACTCTGCTTCATTTTTCTTTTATTATTATACTTTTTAAAACGTTACAAACTTAAAATAGATGTCAGTTTTATTATTGCAAGGAAATTTTCTCTTAAAATAATTAGTTTCTATTAGCTAAGTAAATATAGACGCTGTAATAAGTTATTGTTAAATATTAACCAATAATGCAGTAATTTTGAAAAATTTAAATTTAGAGATAAAGAAAAACAATAAAAATATATTTTATTTACTAATATTTAATAGCAGTGCCTTTTAATATTTTTATTTTACTATTTTTATTTTATTTTTTACTATTTTTAATATTTTTTAATATACTACATTTAGATAACAAAAGAATATTGTTATATTTTATTATTATATTACAAATTTGACAGAATTGTTACTAAAAATAAAGCAAAAATAAATATTTCTATATTAAAGGGGAGGAGAAAAGTTCACAATCAAATCAAATATTAACGCTAATATCAAATTCTGAAGATTTTTCTCTAAAGATTATATGAATTGAAAAATTGCAGTATTTTTCGTTTAATATTCTCATAAATTCACGTAAATTTGAACGCATTATTCTATTTAGACGAGTTTCCGACAAATTGATATTTTATCATCTTATTTACATACTTAAAGTTCTTTTACATCTTAAATTTAAATCCTGATTTATTGCCTGCGAGTTGTTTTTATTTATTTCTACGAAGATAGCTGTATTAAAATCTCATTAATCTCACACTTAATCTTATGAAATGCAAAACCGTAACAGTCAAATTTGTTGCAACACAATCTGCAATTCCGATTTAAATTCTACAAATATCTAAAGTTATATCTCCACCTTTGCAAAATTGTATAAATGGATTATCGTGGAATTTCATTTTTGAATAATTAAATGCACTGGACAAAAATGCTGTAATCGATCGTACTCGGTGAGAAGCAATAGCATGCAATTGACAAAAAAACGTCCACCGCGGTAAGAGAGGCGCTACTGAAGCAAAACAAATATGGCCGCCGCGAATATACAACAACAATAGTCTTAAGTGTGAAAATAAATTTTTTTAATAAACAAGATGTTGTCTTTGCGGTTAGACACACTCTATGATTATACAAAAGCTACGCCTTCATCAAGGAATATATGATCGAAGGCCAGAATGTTATAAATTCTGGCATAATTATTATGTGCGGTGTAACTCTGAAAAGTCAAGAAAGAATAATAGATTTATTCCTTATGTCTACAAATAAGTGCCTTGACATCAGAATCTCACGTGATCACTGGAACATTATTAAGTAATTTTTTAAATAATAATAAGATAATGTTAGATCTATATATTCGCGGCGGCCATTTATGACCTATCTAACATTATAATAGTAGTTCATGCAACCACCACTAGTGTCGCATTGAATTTTCAAGCCCCGAATATTTAGAATAATTCACGATTGTTTCGTCACTTAGAATAATTTACGATTGTCAATGACATTCATATTTCTCATAAGCGTCTGTTTTGTAAGCGTATACCTTTATTTGTGCTTTCCTTTCGTATCGCGCGTTTAGACGTTGTTGAAAGTTAACTTCGCGACGAGGAGAGATCGAAGAAGTGGCGTGCGTTGAGACGCAGATAGAAGTCTTGATGAGAAATTTCATCGAGACTTCGATAGAATGATGTAACTTCTCCAATTGTTGGAAGATGTCGCAAAGTAGAAATTCCGCTCTTATCTTGTCCAACCTTGCCCAATTTATGCGAGCGAGTCTCTATGTGAAAATGGAAAGTCGAGAGTTGCAGAGAGAAATCGATACAAACTATTGTATTTTGTTGTGAATACCATCTGGTATCAAGAGAATTATTAATTGTTAATAATTATTTAGACTACTTATTAAATAATTATTAATTATATCAGCTAAATACCTATATATCTTGCGATGAGGATAAAATTTTAATAAACAAAAGGAACTTTAATTTTAACCTGTCATGAGATTATTTTTAGATAAAAAGCTTATTATTTTGTGCTATCAAAAATTCTTGACTTTATTTTACCATAAAATAATTATAAAGTCAATTTTAAAGAGTGTTTATAAATAAACTTGTCATGAATGTCGCATGTTTAAAATGTATTGTTATTTAACACTTGCAAATATTGTTTTGCATCAAAAGAATGATTAATTATTAATTAATCATTTAGCTTACTCATTAAATAATTATTAATTACATCAGATAAATATATCTAGTGATAAAGATAAAATTAATAAAGAAACAATTTTAGTTTTAACATACCGTGACATTTTGTTATCAAAAATTCTTTGACATTATTTTTAATCACACAATAATTCTAAATTTGATTTTAAAGTAAAGCGCTTATAAATAAGCTTATTATGAATGTTGCATGTTTAAAATTTTGCTTGCAAATACTATATACGTATACATGCTTGCAAATATTATATAAAAAATATTAAAATTATTTTGATTATTTATTATAAAATTATTAATTATAGTAGACAAATATACATTTAATGATAAAGATAAAATTAGTATATATAAGCAAAGAATTTTGATTTTAACCTGTCATGAGATTTA